ACTAGTGGAGTCGGAGCCGGTCCTTCTAGACATACGGGGGATCAATCAGCCATAGAGAGCACGCCATACGCATGGTAAAAAAAATATATTATTTAATTTATTTATAATTTTTTCAAAAAATAAAACAAAAAATAATTAATTAAACATCCGACTATATTTAATACATTTATGTTTATTTATATATGTTTTCGGTGGAATGTGTTGGGTCGTGAACTTGATCCTCACGAGGTTTTCTTGAGGACTCATTAGAGAACGGTTAATGATCGGTTAGTCTTCGTCGATCAACGATTGAGGGTTATCGGAGTAAGTGATAACTTTGAAACATTATTTAATATCCGTTAGTTAATAACGTTATTTGACAACCGTATTTGATGTGACGTGTTTCATAATTATACATGAGACCGTACAATGATTAATTAATGAGGAAGAGGTTGCTAGCCGACAGTCGGGAGGGACCGAAGCGACCCCACCCAACATTAATGACATCTTTCAAAGGGCCGTTGGTGGAGGAGATAGTAGGAGGATGAGGATGTATGAACTCGGCTCACATGCATCTCACTATTATTCAACTCATCAATGCGAGCTTATCTTCTGCTACTTTCATATTCAATGCGATTGATGAGGCACGGTTGAAGGAATTATAGGAGCAAACATCTACAAACATGATGCACATCCATAACTTAAAGTGGTACCGTGAACGACTTACGGGGCCGAGTGGCATCGTTGTTAGATACCATAATTGAGTTGAGAAACAATAGTCGAGAGCGGTTTACGATGATGTCACGGATGCGACGAGATGTTCATGCGACATTTTGAGTGTGATGGTAGTTCATCAACCGTTCTCGAGACCGACAACGACTCGACCCGGCCTGCAGACGACTCGACCCGGCCTCCGGACAACTCCATCCACCCTCCGACCGATCCTGGACATTAACTTATTTTAGATTTTCCGTTTTCTTGTATTAACCGCAACTCGATGTACTATTTTTTTATTTAACAATAATGTAATTGTTTAGCGACGTTTTAATACATTTTGAATAATAAAAATTTACGTTTATGATATTTTATGAGATTTTTGCTACTTTAAAATTATTACTTTTACCTCATTTTATTATTTTTAAATAAATTTATTTTTTCAATTAGACCGTCGCTAAAAATTAAATATTACCAACGATCCGGACGGTTGCCAAATTGACCGTTGCCAACAATTTAGCAACGGTCAAGACCGTCGCTATTTACCAACAGATCATACCAAGGGTTTACAAGACCGTCGCTAATGTCATAAGTGTTTACATCGACATTTAGCGACGGAATAACAACGTTTTGGACCGTCGCTAATTTTACAACGATCCAAACAATCGCTAAAAAACCGACGATCTTTTTAGCGACGGTTTCTTGACCGTCGCTAAACCGTTACTAAAACGTTTTAGCAACGGTTTTTTTAATTTAGCGACGGATATGCCCGTCGCTAAATGACATTTATCCGGTAGTGAGGTTTTCATTGTGAGACAGATTTTGATAAAGATGTGAGTTGTATTATTCTCAATATTTTTATTTTTTAAATTTACGAGAAAAATTTAAATGATTGTGCATTTATTTTTAATTATATTGGATTATTTTGTAGTTGGTTTTGTGATTTTTTTTTATGATAGAAAAATTCTTTTCACGTAAATTTAATATTTTTTGTGATTGAGTTCTTGTAATTAATTTATTTTGTGTTTTTAATTATTATGTGTGTTTAACTTAGTTATTTTTTATGAAATTTAATTTGTAAGGAGTAAGATTAAATTTCTAATAAAAACGACTAAGAAGTTGCATATCAACCATGCGTACAAATAATTTAAATATTGCTTTTGACCTATGTTATGTGAATGCTGGGCGCTGGCTCCCTGTAAGAGTTATGTTTCTGCAGATTTCATTAAGAAGGGATAGAATGAAGATTAGCTAGAAAGCATAAAGACAGATTGATTTTCCCTTTCATGATTTTTTTTTTTTTTTTTTGGCCTTATCTAATGTAATCAAACAACGCAAAATGAAGTAAATTATAAATTAGTTTATTTGAGAAAAAAATTAATTAATTTTTTTTATTTTAAAAATTATTATTTAATCTTTTATTTAGTGTTGAACATATTTAATTTATATTATTTTTGTTTCATAAAATCTCTTTTTTTTACGAATCTTTTTATATTTTTTTTATTTCTTAAAAAAATTAAAATAAATTATAAAATGGTTAAAAAATTAAATTACAGATAAATTTAAAAGCATGAGGATTAAATAATTATTTTTTTAAATAAAAAAATTAATTTATTTATTTCTCAAAATGGAAGGGCTAATTTATAACTTATTCTTGAAAGATGAGATCATATCAAAATAAAAAAGAAAATTAATTGATCTAAGGTCAGGAGAATTTTCTAAGCACGAATGATTTTGATGGGACGGGAAGACTTTTTCGAATTTGAAAACTCGTTGCTGCACCCTAGCCGCTTAGGTGGACAACATGCTTTCTTTTAATCTTTGGGTTGTTGAAATAAACCTAAGTTTGACGATTCAAAAGTAAAAACTGCGAGGTGGGAAAAGTCTAGATCATGACCACAGATTTGGATTGTGTGGATTAATTAACGTGCAGAATAGCTAGGGGGCCCTATGCTTCATTTTTATAAAAAGTTAAACCACTAGTTAATTAATAATAATAATTATTATAATAGTAATAATGACAAAGCATATCTACGAATCTTTGTGATTGTCTGTGGTTGAGCCGTCGGTAAAAATAATGGTATTAGAAATATGTTTCATAATACTTTTGTATTATTTTGATGTTTTGCATGAAACACATGGCAAATAGGACAGTAAATTTTTGGAGTGTGTTATCCTAAGCTTTAACAAATATTTCATTTTAATTTCTAAGAGTTTTAAAGGTTTTAAATCTGTTTCTAAATTGAATCCTTCTTTGGTAGAAGATATACATGCTTATATCTCAAAAGATATAATCCTTAATAATATTATCTTATTTTTAAAAATAAATTATTCTAATATTATTTCATATTGACATCTCATTCCTAAAATCTTAGGTGTCGTTTGGTAATCGAAATATATTAACGAAAATGAAAATACGAAATCGAATGATATTTGTATTTTCATATTATGTTTGGAATACTAATAAGGAATCGAATACAATTTAAATTTTTTAATATCTTATTTTTTATATAAATAAAAATAATGATTAAAAAAATAATTTTATCAAACTATAATGATCGTAAAAATAATAAAGATGATAGTGGTGGTGATGGCGACAACGACGATGATGATGGTGGTTGTAATAACAGTGGTGGTGATTGTGATGGTTGTGATGGTTGTGATTGTAGTGGTAATGATTGCGGTGATGGTAGTTATTATGATGATGGTAAAAATAGTTAATACACAATAAATAAATAAAATATATTATTATTTTGAAGAAAAAAATTTATTTTTATTTTTTGTTTTTATTCTTAAATCTTATATAGGAATGATGTTGTGTATAAATTTTTATTTTTATTATTACTTTATTTGTTTTTAATCAAACAACTATAATATAAAAATAAAATTACTATTTTTATTTATATTAATTTATTTTCGATTATCAAACAACGTTTTATTACGTTATTTGTTATTTGTGGAGGTGTCGAAACTTATGATATCTCTTTTAAATACTATCTCAACCACAACACAAATTTCACCACGATGATCAGCTACCACGTCTTACGTCTTGCACAAGGAAAATGTGACTATTCTGCAGGTGTAAAAAAGAATCAGGAGACCTACCTGCCCAGCTAGTTTCTACGCCTTTCCGTATTACAGGAACGGAGGTGGTCCCTTTTTGTACGTTTTAGATGCAAACATCGTAGCTCATAAATTGCTAGATGCTTTTATATGCTTAAACTTATGTGGAAACTTCCAATTGCTTTGAAAATCCAGAAATGACAAAATTGCTGCTATTCACTCATCATGCAGTTGTTTGTTCGTAACTCATAAATGCCCATCAAGCCTGAGCAACTGTACTTTATGAATATGCTACGAGTATTTTTTGATTGTCAAACACCAATAGCAAGTAAAGACTGCTCCCATATGATAGAGGGATGCTAAAACTTCAAATGAAGAAATTGCCGCTGCCTCAAATTAGGAGATTGCTGCTATTTATGAACTTTACTTTATGTGTATATCAAGTATTATTTCCTAATCTTTAAATTAATTAATTAGATATTATTTCCTATTATAGCATATAAAATCTTGTATTTATATTTCACATTCTCTTCTAACAAAAAACGCCGTTAGTACAATGAATCGTTTATATGTTATCCCAAATTAAGACCTTTTCTTTGGATTTTAGCTTTCCTGTTTTTCCACCAGCCACGTTAACCGCCGGTTCGGTTCCGTGTCTTATTTAACCCACGCAAGTGTACGAAACAGCCTTCCTGTAATAACAGCACCAATCCAACCCAATCCAATCCAATCCAATCCGATCCATTCCAATATTTCATAAACAAAACCCAACAATTGTCTTTCCCAAGAAAAATAAAATAAAATATAGAATAGTACTAAAAACTAAAAAGGAATAACTCTTAATTAAAGACAACATAATCTTCCATATTACACGTCTCCTCCTATTTAAGGGTGTTGCCTGACCCACATAGAGTTTCCTGCATCTGAAAGGACTAATTGTTTTTATTTATAAATTATTGTAGGCTCCAAAATAACGACGCATTTTCATCCCAACCGCATGTTTTCATCATCGTTCTTGAGAGGCGTGCCCACTTCTCTCTCATCTCTCATCTCCCTCTGATCGTATCTCTCTCTCTCTTTCTCTTTGGATATTCGTTTTCTTCGGAAACAAACAGAACAAACCAAGTACGTATTCCCTATATAACTTGCTTGTTCGAAACTGGTGCTACAGAAAGAAGAAAATATATCGGAACCTGTGAGTGTAAGTGACGTTAACGGGTAAGAAGCCAAACGTTTGGGAAAATATGGACTCAGCAATCACAGCTCCTGATCAAGCTCAACGTCGCTTTAAAGCTATTCACGGCCACCTCACCGCCGCCGCTGCACAAGATGAGTCTCCACCTCAACTCCGGGACAACCACACCGCTGGAGAGTTCTTCTATGGTACGCAACTCTCTCTCTCTCGCTTTCTCTCGTCCTCCACTTGCATATAATAAAACCTTTTTAAGCGGTTTTTTATTTTTATTTGGTCTTTTCTTTTTTCATATTTTGCTGAATTTTTTAAAGAAAAAACAATCTTTTCGATGATCAAATGATAATGCAGATAAGAGTTTACACTCACAGAATTAATTAGACATCCAATATATATATATATAGACTTTTGAGTTTTGAGACTCATAGGAGATCTACTTTGGGATGGGCACAACATTAGCAACAGTTATATTTGTTGGAGTAAATTATAAACTAGTCCCTCTCGTTTCAAGAAACGAATTAATTACTCTATTTAGTTTTAAAATTTAATTATTTAATTTTTTTGTTAATTTTTTATTTAAATGAAAAATAAAAAATATGAGAAAAAACCATTTTATAAAATAAAAAATATTAAATTAGTCGTGGTTAAAAGGATTAAATAACTAGTTTTTGAAACTAGAAGGAGCAATTAATTCGTTTCTCAAAACAAGAGGGACTAATTTATAATTTACTCATATTTATGATTAGAAGGAAGTGGCTTTATCTCTAGATCTCTTGGAGGGAGCGGATGTAGCTGGTCAATACCATTGGGATGGGGGAGCTGCAGCCTCCAAACTTTCGATTTTTTGAGTTGGAAACAAAACAGAATTTGAAAAAAAAAAGAGAAAAAAAAGCAGCGATATTATTTAACAAGAGCACATTTTGGATTAGGAAACACGAAAAGATTCGTAAACTTGACAAGTCTCTGGTAGTTGATTCTCTTTGGTCCCATGGAGTTTTTACAGTACACAACCATGATGTCCTCTCGTGAACTATTTTTGCCTCAAGGTGGTCAAGTGGTCGAAGTAAAACTCTATCAAACAAAAAAAAAAAAAAAAATCAGGTCGATTAGTTGAGGTGTTTTAATTGGAGTAGTTTGTTAATTTTGGATTGTTAGCTTATAACCAAATCATCAAAAGTTTTTGAAGATATAAAATTTCTCTTGCTTCTTCCATCTTGTGTTCTAGATTGGGTACTGATGGTGTGCGTAAAGTGGTTGCTAATTCATTTCTGTCAGTCATGCTATGGTAGGTATGGGTCAGGAATTCATGCGGTGGAGTGAGAGTTGGAAGAGTGTCCTTGGACTTTGCCTTAAGTTGGTCAAGGGTGGGTGGGGTTAAGGTAGGTTCTAGGTCCAAATCTGGCTAATCCCTTGAAGTTGATAGTTACTAAAAGTGTAATTTCGGGTTCTATCTGTAAATTGAAATTTGAAAGAAGAAGAGGCTAATTAAATTTACTTAGCCATTCTGTGTGTTGTTACTGCTCCTGAAATCTTAATCATTGGGTGTGAATAGAAAAGGACTGAGCTATAACTGGGGTAGTTTTTTGCTTATTTTTTAGTTTAAAAAGAAATTCCTTTTGGTTTATGCCTCGATATCGCCTATGTTCTTTTACTAGTTGCAACGATCTGTCAAAGCATTCTAGGGTTGGTTTTAGTGCTTTTGAATGAACGAAAGATGTGGGCTTATGTGATGGGATATTTGTAAGGAATTGAAGGACCTGTGGTAAAGACTAAAGAGGAAGGGTGTGAACAGTTACTCCTGCTTTTCACCGTTTTCCCTTGTGTTTGGGAAACAAAATTTTTTTAATTGGGATGAAATGTTACGGCCTTGACTGTTCTACTTGAATGTTTCTTGATGCCAAATGCAAGGGAAGGAGGAGAAAAGTGAAGCAAGTTTTCATTCCCTTCCTCCTCTACCAAACATTTGTTGTTTACTCCTGTTCTCTTTTTCTTGTAACATTAAGTCACGGGCTTATGACATGAAATTACCTGTTAGATTAAAATTTGCCGTTGGTTGTAAGGAATCGTTGGACATATATGGTGGGAATGATAATCCGTGTCTAGTAATCAATATGGTTTAGTCTGCTTATCTGCCTAATTTCTGGTTCTTATACATATCCCGTTTCTCGTTGTTCTTTTGTTATTTGTGTATGCATTAATATTGTCAATCCTGGTGCTTTATCCTGAGCAGAGCAGGGGTACAGTGTTGTGCTTCCAGAGAAATTGCAAACAGGAAAGTGGAATGTATACAGGTAGGCATTGGCCAGTATTCTTGAAATTTCTTTTCATTGCCTTTCTTGCTTGTCTGTTTAGTTGTTCATATGTAGTTCTTTTCTAATGGCAGGTCTGCTCGCTCCCCTTTACAGCTTGTGAGTAGATTTCCTGATCATCCTGAAATTGGTACACTGCACGATAATTTTGTGTAAGAATCCTTTGGTTACGTGGCTTCATTACATTTAAGTTCCATTTCAACAACCTTCATCATTTAGAAAGCATCCAGCTACCTCTTTTTAAAAGCTAAACATGGTTTTCTCTAACTTGGTGTCTATAGGCACGCAGTTGAAACTTTCCGGGACTATAAATATCTGGGCACACGAATTCGTATTGATGGAACAGTTGGAGAGTAAGTTCTTTTTAGATAAATTGAACTTAAAATGCATTATTTATCTTATCCATTTTCATTTATTTATTATAGCTACAAATGGATGACTTACGGAGAAGCAGGTACTGCACGAACTGCGATAGGTTCTGGCTTAATATACCATGGAATACCTAAGGTGAATGAATGTACAAATAATAGTCATTTGTTTGAATACTGATGTCATTTAACCTTGTTGCCTGTTGGTGCTGGTTTGATTTTCATTCATATTTTACAGTGCTATATACAAGTATCTCATAAAATTTCCCAGCTCACTTCCTTGAAATCTGATTGTTATGTGGTTGTTATTACAGGGATCTACTATTGGATTGTATTTTATCAACAGACCAGAATGGATGATTGTCGATCATGCCTGCTCTGCATACTCTTACATATCTGTTCCTTTATATGACACACTTGGTCTGTTAATGGTTAAACAAGAACTTTTATTTGATCTTGCCCGTGTCCTGAGAAATTAACTTCACTTATTGTTTCTCTGCAGGTCCTGATGCTGTCAAGTTCATTGTAAATCATGCTGTTGCACATGCTATATTCTGTGTACCTGAAACATTGAATTCGGTGAGTTAAATTTGTTCCCTTCCTTGGCTGCCTTTTAAAAAACAGGTGCCATCTTAGCTTTGGAAGTTGAATTACTTTGCAGCATCAAATTACTTCTGAAATATAAGCTGGAAATCACATGATCCTTCTTTTAGTTTCTGTTTTGTCCATTGAGTTTCTGCTCCTATTGAGTCATGATACAGATGTAAGATATTGCAAGCTTGAGACAATGATCTGATATTTGAACTGTATCCAGAGCGAAGAATATTGAGAAACAAGATAGCAGAAATTCTTATTACTTCTTAGGAGATTACTTTACCTAAAGAATCATAGAAACTTCAGAAGTCAACTTCTTGCTTTGTCCATTTTGATCCTGCTGTCTATCTTTACCAACTCTGCGCTTATTGAGCTAATGAAATATGTTGAGAGTTTTATTTATGAGGTTTGCAGCCATGAGTCGAGTATGGAATGCCTTTATTGAGATGGAGATAATGAATATGATGTTCACTTAACGTACCTAGGATTAGCAATCACAATAACTTACATATGATTAGCAATAACAATAGCGTTCATAGGATTAGCAATCACAAAATCTTTATATATTGTCACAAGGTGGGTGTTTGCACATAAAGACTTGATAGCTAAGAATTTTTTACTGGCAAGTCTACAGTTAGTTCCTATCTTAATTTAGATCTAATAGAAGTAATGGGTGATTTGATGAAGACAACTGTGGCCCTTTTCTGCCTACTTTGTCTCTGTTTATAATTGTATCCCACTTTTTTCATTCTTTCAGTTTTCTATAATACATGAAATTGAAAGTTTCTGACTTAGAGCTTCTGCAGCACTACTTAATATTGCATCTTTTGGAATTTGCAGTTATTGAGCTTCTTGTCTGAGATTCCATCTGTGCATCTAATTGTGGTATGAAATTCTCCTAGTCACTATGAAATGAATATTTGGGCAGATAGCAGTTATTGAATATTGGAAGGTCATTTACCATAGAAGGTCATTTGCTTTTCCTATAAAACAGGTAGTCGGAGGAATAGATGATCAAATGCCATCTCTTCCATCGTCAACTGGAGTTCAGGTTGTGACATATTCAAAACTGCTGAGTCAGGTAATTTTATGTCCTTTATCTTTATATCATATCGTAACTTCTATTTGAAACGATGACACTCATCGTTAAATTGCACTGGTCTACTAGCTCAAATCATTATCAAGGTTTCAAAATTTAGGTCTAACATAAAAGTTAAACATCTCATTTGATGCCATCTTCAATAATTTTTTAGTGCTTGTGGTACGAGAACTGAGATTTTCTGCATAATTGGTGTACAATTTCTTTGATGATTAAAGAGAGTATCACCCTGTCCTGTTCGCAGTTTTCCATGCATTATTTGCATTTGATCTGTTTGCTAGTGTATTTTTTGCTTTCTTTGAAATGACAGTTGTAATGCAAACGTTAATGATGAAATATTAGTTTCACTGGTTATTTTGACAGTTGTAATAGTCTTGTCTGGATTGTAAGTCACTTGATGGATCAGTTGATGAACCATTGTCCTTTTAATTATGGATACACTTCTTGCCCACTCAGAGTTCATACCCTCTAGAAGCTGGACTTGTTCTGGCTGTCCTGCTTCATCAAGGGTATTTAATTGTTGTTTCCTTATGAACATTCTTTCTCTTCAAATTGGTTGATGTAGGCCTAGAAACTCAAAGACACTTGAATGATAGTTTTCTTTCTATACAATGGCATGTAACAAACATGGACTAATCCATTAATTCTTGTGGACTGGTTCATATTGCTATACATTTAGGTGACCTCTTTTAGTTCAAGATCAAGAGCCATTTTTATCATATTTTATCCTGTTCTGCTTTAAAGATTTGGTTGTCATATTGCACAAGATTACTGCATTTTGCTTTATCATTAATATGACGATTTCCTCATGCAAATGGCTCTCTATTAGGGTCGCAGTAACCTCCAGCCCTTTCGTCCACCAAAACCTGAGGATATTGCTACCATTTGCTACACAAGTGGTACAACTGGAACACCAAAGGTAGATAAACTTGCTGAAAGGATTCAACTCTCTGGTTCTCAGGCAACATAATTTTCTAGAAATGATTTAACTGCTTCTAGCAACTGAAAAAAGATTTTATTTTGATGAATTCTGTAAAGGGAGTTGTATTGACCCATGGAAACTTTATTGCAAGTGTTGCTGGGGTCACTCTTTCTACTTCATTCAGCTCATCAGATGTGTGAGTTCTGCTCATTTTATATATTATCCTGAAGTGCTGTTGTGCCCTGTTTATGTCTGCAAACTGTTTTCTCCAACTGAAATGAGTGCAATTTTTCCAGTTTCATATCATATTTGCCTTTGGCACACATTTATGAACGGGCTAACCAGGTCATGTTGGTGCATTGTGGAGTTGCTGTTGGATTCTACCAGGGGGTATAACGCTGAACTAAGCTCTTCGTTATATTTTTGCTTTTCGAGTTAATTTTATTATTGATGCAATGTAACATTTGCTGCTGCTTCCCATTTACCCGGTGTAAAATTGCTGGAAGCTCAAACAAGTGTATGTAGCTTTGTTTCTGGAGACAACTGACAAGCACTCCCCTGTATAGTAACTACTTTAGGAAACAGATCATGCAATGTTGTTTTCAAAATTTTGGTTGTTCTAACTTGATTGAGGAGTCCATTTACTTGCCAAAGTCCAAACCTGTGAAGCAGAAAGTCCAGATTTTGTAAAATTGTATTTCTATCCTGACAACATTAAACACTATATTGTAACCTCGATGTGCAGGATAATATGAAATTAATGGATGACATGGCTGCCCTTCGACCCACTATATTCTGCAGTGTTCCTCGGCTCTACAATAGAATATATGCTGGGTGAAGTTACCATCCAGTGCTGCTGAATTTATATATTTTCTTGCAAGTACTATGTTCATTTTATAACTGAGTCAAATACCTTGGTTTGCAGGATTACAAATGCTGTGAAAGCATCTGGTGGGTTAAGGGAGAGGTTATTCAATGCTGCTTATAATGCTAAGAAGCAAGCACTACTGAATGGTAGGAATACTTTTATTATTTCCACGTCCTGGCCTGTGTCAAGAGCCTTTTTTTGTTGCAACAAATTAGATAAGATAAAAAAAGTTATTTTATTTTATTCATATCGATAAAGCTTCTGTTTTATGATGGAGTTTTCTTCTATACAGGACCTTTTGTACCTAGATTATTAAATGAAATTCACTGCTTTAATTATATGATTTGTTGGAGGTGATGGAAACAGTTTGAAAGAGATATAAAATCACAAAGCTTTTATTTAGCTTTGGCCAAAAATTGTATTTATCTAACTCCATATTTCATAAAACTAGAACCGGAGAACGTAAAATTATTACTTCATTCCATGTCTTAGTCTAAAAAGCTAAACGATTCTAATAGCCGGCATTGTTAAAAACTCTGTTTCTCTTTAAGGCAGCTTTGCTGGTTGGATGTTTAACCAATATTGTTGCATATATATATTGCTGCAGGGAGGAATGCGTCTCCAATGTGGGACAGACTGGTGTTCAATAAGATTAAGGAAAGACTTGGAGGGCGAGTTCGTTTAATTGTGTCAGGTGCTTCACCGTTGTCTCCTGATGTGTTGGAGTTCTTGAAGATGTACGTTAATTGCTTTTAGTCTACCAAATGTTTTTGGCAAAATTCTGTTTCTTTTTCTTTCATAATGCTGAGATGATTTCTGGATAAATTGGAAGCTGTTTTGGTGGACGGATAACTGAAGGATATGGAATGACTGAGACGACTTCTCCTATATCTGCTATGGATGAGGGTGACAACCTCAATGGCCATGTTGGTTCTCCTAACCCAGCTTGTGGTGGGTTTGGCATGAATTTACATACCTATATGCCTTTCTTCTGACGTGTTTTGCCTTTTGGTTTGTAATCTGTTTTTATTAATTTGTATGCCTTTTGTTTTGGGATATGTTTTTATTAATTTTTATTTTCTGCATCAGAAATAAAGCTTGTGGATGTTCCAGAAATGAACTACACATCTGATGATAAGCCATATCCTCGTGGGGAAATCTGTATAAGAGGTCCAAATGTTTTCCAAGGCTATTACAAAGATGAAGAACAGACGTACTCACCTTGCCTGTGGGCTGTTTCTTTTACATGATTGACTTAGATATGAGTAAAACTGACAATATAATGATGCAATGCAGGAGAGAAGTAATCAATGAAGATGGATGGTTTCATTCTGGGGATATAGGATTATGGCTACCTGGAGGCCGTCTAAAGATTATTGATAGGTGAGCTTTATACATCTAATCAGTAGTCTTTGGTTGAATTGATAAATGATAATACCTACTCTTGTTGGAATTTTTGTATCAATGACCTGGTATAAATTTTGAATGATGCTATGTGCATGCAAAATAAATATTAAATCACACATTTGAAATAAACTCATTTGGGTGGCTTTTTGGACCTACCCTGGTCTTTTTATCAACGCTGGGAACGTTGTACTTGGGCTGACAAGAGAATCTCTGTTTGGTGATAGTACCTCTAAAATTCACTTGGTTGCATATGACAAGAATTCCACCAATGGTATTACCTTTTACTTCCCTTGCATGATCGCCTTTGGCATGCTTTCTTGTGAGTTAGATGTTGTAAAACTACTTTTACATAGTCATGAAGCAGTATGAGGATTGAGGATTGAATTTTCAAATTTGTGGTAATTACAGAAACCTAGATGCTTTTGCTCCTTTGAATGAAGTAGGACACCTCATAAAAACTATATTTAATTTGCATGATGTGTTTGGTTGGAACTTGGTGATTACATTTTGGAAAGCATGCGTTTGCATTCTAATTGGAACACTGGTCTGTTGGTACAGAAAGAAGAACATTTTTAAGCTGGCACAAGGAGAGTACATAGCTCCAGAGAAAATAGAGAATGTTTACGCTAAATGCAAGTTTATTGCCCAGTGCTTTGTCTATGGTATGTAAATGAAGTTTTATAATTTATAACATCTTTCTCTCTCTCTTATTGTTGACCCTTAACTGTTTGTATTGTAGGGGACAGCCTAAATTCTTATTTGGTAGCTGTTGTTTCAGTAGACCACGATGTGTTGAAAGCATGGGCTGCTTCTGAAGGCATTAAGGTGCCATTTGCTTTTACTAATTTCAAGATCATAGGAAAGAGTTGTAGCCTCATCAACATTCAGTTTACTTGCTGCCATTTGCATTCAAAAATCCTTTTTTCTGCTACAAGTTGTTACTTCGTATTTTTGTTCAGTCATTAGATATTACTAAAATTGAACTGTCATCACTTTGCATTTCTTTTAATAGGATGTACCAGTATTATTCTCACACAGCCAATCTCGCCTATCAGATTACTTTATTATCTTGCATAACTGCATGAAGCTTCTCGATTTATTTGCTTGTTTGAAAAGGAAACAGCTTTTAAGTCTTGAAACCATTTTGATAAAAATGGATATTGGAAGCTCAGTCCAATTTAGTTTTGCTTTAGAAGTTCGTCTATTATTTTCATTTACTGCTTTTTAGAATTATTGAAGGCTAGAAAATACATTTGATTGCTGTAGTTTTTGTGCTGAAGTATGATGTACCTGCATGTTTGTTTATCTATGGAATATGTGGTTTAGTAGAATGCCCTGACCATAAACTGATGCATTTTTCTGGCCATGTGCAATTGCAGTATGAAAATTTAGCACAACTGTGCAATGATCCTAGAGTCAAGGCTGCTGTGCTTGCAGACATGGACGCTGTCGGAAACGAAGCTCAGGTATTGCATTTGGCGAAATTGAATTTGAGCCCATAAATTGTATCTTTGCCTTGAGATTTTCACCTTGAACCTTCTATCGGTTGATCATATTGTCCTGCAGCTGCGAGGTTTTGAATTTGTAAAAGCCGTGACACTGGTGCTAGAACAATTTACAGTAGAAAATGGTCTTCAGACCCCAACATTTAAGGCAAGTGCTCAGTTTTGTTTTGTTTTTTTTGTTTTTTTTTGTTTTTGTTTTTTTTTTTTTGCTGATAAAATAGTGAAGAAAAGTAACAGGCGACAGCTTCTCACCGTGCTTATTGACTTTCAGATTAAGAGACCTCAGGCAAAGGCATACTACGAGAAAGCAATATCAAATATGTATGCGGAACTGGCTGCATCTGATCCTTCTTCCAAGAAGGTGTTGTGAAGAAAATTAGAGACGAAGCGTAGCAAAAATAGTGTCGGGGCCAAGCTCTTCATAGCAGCCGAACTTGATAATATGATTTGTGGATGTGACATAGAAAAAAGGTAGAAAGTAGTCCTCACCGGCAAAGAATTCTGCATGTCAATCCCTGTTTGTATTTTTTCTTTTGTTGCCTTGAGCAAGGTTATTGAGAAATTTGATTATTTTGTTTGTACCACCCCCCCCCACACGCATATATATTGTATCGTGATTTGATTATTCGTTCATCGTGCCACACCTCATTTGGGTTCTCAAACAAGATAAAGAAAAAAGTCCTGATGGTACGAAGCTTGGAAATTGATCAAACAATTGCACCAGCGATCCATGCGTAGAAACGGTTGAGATGTGATGATTTCGAACTTGCTAAGAAGCCTCTGATTGTGTGGACGAATTATCTAGTTTGAGGCTTGAACTTCTACTGTTAGTGACACGTACGTGGGACATTTGATTATTCGTTCATCGTACCACACCTCATTTGGGTTCGCAAACAAGTAAAGAAAAAAGTCCTGATAGTACAAAGCTTGGAAATTGATCAAACGATTGCGACGTTTGAGATGTGATGATTTCGAACTTGCTAAGAAACCTCTGATCATGTAGATGAATTATTTAGTTTTGAGGTTCGAACCTCTATTGTTAGTGACGGACGTGGGACATTTCATTTTGTAAACGTCAGCAGATTAGAAACATACTATTTTAATTGCCAATTGGAATCAGAATATTTTAATTGATGTACTTTTTAAGGTTGTAGAAGTGGAACGCTGTCTCATGGACTGGTCCAGCTATTGCTTCTTTCCATGGAGCAAAAGTTGCATGAAGTTCTACTAGCCCTTTTCCAAACAAGGAGGGTCAGGGATCAGAAAGATTAGCTTTTGTTTTTAAGAAGCATTTGGTGCATTATGTTCCAAGTTTTCTTTGGGTGGCATGGTCCATCAATTTACCAGTGAGAGGCAAAAGTCTCTAGAGTATTGCCTTTCCAAGTGATAGGAATTGCTTAGGATAAGAACTTAAGATTGTACACTCATTCTACACTCATTGGGGAAAGTGGAAACATTTGTATATGGAGGGATCCTCAGTCCTTTTTGTTAAGAGCAATTCAACATAGCTAACTTGGTTTTAAGTTTTTTAGTTTTTCATATTTTTTAAATTAAAGTAGTTCTATTTTTCACATAGTTTGAGTCATTACGTGTTAAAATAGATAAAATTCTTAAAAAAATCCACTTCTAGTGTCTTTGTTGGTGGTTAGTTAATTTAATAATTCTATTTATCTTGTTTTTTGTGGTGCTTGTATTAAAAGAGTTTGAGTTCAATAAAAGTATTTTTCAAAATTGTGAGTGTTAGCTCTGTTTCTTATTTTCTAGCATAAGTCGAATCAAAGCCTAATTCGATTTGAGATAATTTTCTTTCAATTTCAATCTCTTTAATTGAGAGATGTCAAACACAACCCCAATAACAAATATATTCCAAAATGTTCCCATCTTTAGTGGCTTCAATTATCAATTTTGGTGTGTGAAGATGAAGACTCTCTCTTTGTGTTGTATGGCTTATAAGATTTGATAGAAAATGGACTTGGAGATCATATAGATCTTGATCAAGTCATAAGACTCACGAGTTGCTCAACATAATAAGTTTAGAGACGAGAAAAAAAAAAAAAGATGTCAAAGCATTATTTATGATTCAACAAACCTTGTATGATGCCATATTTTCATAAATCATGGCTGCCACCACCTCAAAAAAAGTTTAGAACTCGCTCTAAAAAGAGTATCAATGCTCAAGTGAAATTGTGACAATGAAGTTGTAAACCCTTCGTCGATAGTTGAAAAATTGTTGATAAAGCCTTTTGATTTAGTCTAAGAATTTTTCACAAATTCTCTTTTGTGATGAATCAAATTTGAGCTTTTGGTGAAGAATTGGGAGATCGAAGGTTGCTAAAACGATTTTTGCAAAGCCTTCCAACCAAATTCAATCATGTAATGGTAGCAATATAAAAATTCAAGGATCTATCTAGTTACTCTCTTCATGAGCTAATGAGGTCATTTTTATCACATGAGCAAAGGCTAAGCGAGTGGTAGAACTCGTTACAAAATGTTTTTCAATCAAAGTTGGATTTGAAGTCGGGAAAGAGGGGACATGTGGAGGAAGACAAGGGAAAGCCAATGGCTAGCCTAAGAACTTCAAATGAGGTAATGATGCTGATTTTTTGTCCGGTTCCGATTGTGGCAAATCTAATCACATGTACAAAGATTGTTGGTTCAAAAACAAAGCCGATCATAACAAAAAAATCTATTAGGTGTTATCATTATAATAGAGTTTGTTATAATATTCTATTATAATGAAAAGAATTGTCATTACAAGAAAAATGAACAAACTAACTTTCATAGAAAAAAAAAGGCTACCGAAAATAATTTATTTGTTGCTTGCTTTAATGCTAATGTTGTGAAAAAATTTAGTCTTTAGTCCATGGCCGCAACTATCACATAATAAGATGAGTTATCTTGTAAAAATTGACCATTCTTACAATTCACAAATGATGATGGCGTTTAGGTGTGTGGTATAGGTACTCTTATGGAATATAAGAAAAATTAATAAGTTCATTCATAATGCTACGCATGTTTCTCTCGCTTGTCTTACAATTTGCTTAACTTGGGTCACTTATTAAAAATAGGATATCATGTTGTTTTGACGTTCATCAATGCTTGATATATGGTAGAAAAAAACATATGGATTTGATTACTTGGATTAAAATAACCGAGTAACAAGATGTTTTCTATTATGTTCTATTGATTTTCTCATAATGTTTTTAGTATATAGTATATCAACTAGTGATTTCATCCTTTGGCATAAAAGATATGGTCGTCCGAATTTTTGGTAGGGGTTGAATTTATTGCAAAGTCGAATATAGTTTCAAGTTTGATCGTGGTTGATAGTGACATGCAATTGTGTGAAGCATGTATTTTTGACGAGCATCATCCCGAAAGATTTCCAATGAAAAAGTTGTGAAGAGCTACAAAACTTTTGATGTTGGTTCATGTTAATTTGTGTGGTCCAATGCAAACGGGTTTTTTAAATGGAACCATTTCATTATACTAGTTCATGATTTATCACGGATGCCATGGATCTATTTCTTGGAAGAGAAATCTAAAACATTTGAGCACTTCAAGCAATTCAAGAGTATGGTTGAAAAGAAAAGCGATTACTCAATTGTGATTTTGTGTACTAATCTTGGAGGAGAGTTCACATCAACTCGTTTAATGTGTATTGTAATGATTTACGAATTCAAAGGCAATTTATAGCAAGTAATACTCGATCCTTAGCAAAAAGAAGTTGTCGATTGTAAGAACAAAACAATCTCTTAGGCATTAAAACAAAAAAAGCAACTAAGCTTTGTCAAGTACTACGAGTAGAATATATTGCAGCTACAACTACAACTTGTTAGGCGAGTTTGGTTGAGAAAAATTTTAGAAAATTTAAGCTAAAGGAAGAAGGACAAACTATCATCTGTTGTGACAACAAATCCACAATAGCTTCTTTTTTTTAAATCTAGTTCATCAAGATAAGATAAAATATCAAGATACGACATAACTTCATTTAAGAATTGATTGCTAAAAGGATAATAGAACTATTGTATTGTAATATTTACGAATAATCAATAGATATTCTAATAAAAATTTGATAGAGATTAAATTTAAGAAGTTTATATCCATAATGAGAGTTGCAGACTGTTGAATTAAGAAGAGGAATGTTAGAAGCAATTCAACTTAGTTGATTAGATTTTAAGTTTTCTTAGTTGTTCTTTTTTTTTTTAAGCTCACAATAGTTCTCTTTTTTCATGTAGTGGGAGTGAGTTTCAAAGTTAACGAAATTCTTAAGAAATCTACTTCTAGTGTCTTTGTTAGTGGTTAGTTAATTTAGGAAATAGTTTTTACATGTTTTTGTAACTTTTTTATTCTAATAAGTTTATTTAAATGTGTCTTTTGTTGTGTTTATATTAAGATGGTTTAAATTTAATAAAGTATTTTATAGACTTGTAAATTCTAGTTCTATCTTATTTTCTAACACTCTTAACAAAGCCAGTGGTAATAAAATCATGCATGGAAACCTGCCCAACCATAGGAAGTGATTAGTGACGGAGAAATGGCATTGGCCTCCTGGTTGATCATACCATAAGAAGATAATACTAAAACATGTGGCCTAATTCAACCTTTTCGATAATTAAGAAAGGATCCTACGATATGGAAGCCTAGTCCGCGTTAAAAGTGTCTCTAACATTATCAAGATAAAAGGGAACCAAGTGAACTAATATAAACTAATCTGGGACCATCACATCCCTAAACATAGATTTGTTTGTTAGCTGTCTATTTTCGATAGATGATCTACATAAAGCATGTAGGTTGATGAGCTTGAGGTCCTTTTATTGTGAAACTTTTTTAGAATGGTCCCTCATAAAGCATCTTTTTCACCATGCAATGCTGCTAAAACAGTGTCGCAGTAATTTCAAGTCCCATGCAAGGATTATGGACAGGTGGGAAATTGGAATCGTGGATTGTGCTGAGTTAAACAGTATTTTCGCCGTAATTTCCTGGCTATGTTGCTGAGACTTGAATGTTGCTCTCGTTTATTGTGTCTGGAAAACCAGGATAGCAAAACGCATATGCTGCAGGGGCGAAAAACATAAAAAATAAAAAATGAAGCGCCTGCTCATTAAAGTCCATCCACAGTTTGTCATCTGCGGATGTAGTGGCTAGCTTTATCCTAGTGTGTGTATATATAAATATATATATATCGATTCTCCTGGTAGGGTTCTTTATTTTCAGCACTTGTTTTGACTTTTAAGCAAAGGTCGGTGGTGGGGCTGTAGAAAAAAAAAAGAGAGAGAGAGAGAAGGTGAGACAATCCAACTTTTTTTTTTAGCGAACCAGATTAAACGAAACGACATGGTGGATCTCTTTCCTTTCGCTTCTTTTGTTGGAATTCATGGTGGAGCCTGTCATTCTTCAACTCGCATTTTGTGCTTTATTTTCATTGGTCTTAATAATGGTCAAACTATTTTAGACTTAGTTTTCAAGTATCTGATTAAAATTGTTAGTCAGATTTTTAAGTACGCAGACAATACAACATGATACATGTATGAAAACTTTTTCTCTACTTTCTTTTAGACAATTATGTTTTATTTTAGTTTACTGGCAGGTTTATTGGTCTTTAAACTATGTATTGAAAATAATTATTCTTTATTATATAATAATTAAATAAACTAAAATTTGAATTTTTCTTTTTACTGAAAAGGTTATCAAGTATACAATCTTTTGGCAGTGTCTGCTTGTATATTTCTCTTAAAATTGTAATTATGAATAATAAATATATGAACAATCTGTCTACTTTCCATATAATTCTAATAATTATTATAGCAATTGTTTTTAACAGTTACATTAGTCTCTAACCATCTTCAATAAACAAAAGTATATCTCAAAATATATATATATATATATATATATATATATATATATATGTATATATATATATATTAGCTAAAATCTGTCCACTTCATATTCTAACCAAAGCAGCAAATCTTCTGTACACTCGAGCCAAGCGTCAAATGCAATTAAACCATATTAAATCGTAAGAAAAAAAAACAAAAAACAAAAGAAAGCCTGATTAAATCAAATTAAAAGGTGTGTTTAAGATATTGCTGTCAGCTTCTAAGGTGGGCACTTGCCTCAAAGACCCAATAAGTCGACTATTTATAACGAGAAAGGTAGGGGCAAAACACATTCTTCCTCTATCACAGGCAGTGCCATTCCACGTCATATACGTTGCAGCCAGTCAATCAATTCTTAGACCAAAATCTAACCGTTTAAAACAAAATCTCACCTACACCCTCACTGCACTGGAACCCAACCAACCGGGCATCTCTGCTTCATAGCAAAGCTATAAGAAAAAAAAAAAAACGTTTAATAAGAGTCAAGATTTTAGCCGAAAAGAAAACGCGAAGAAACCAAAACCAAGAAGAAAAGCCAGCGAAACAGAAACACCACCGTCCACCAACGGAGGGGAGAAAGAGAAGAAAGAGGGAGAGAGAGAGAAAGTCACTCATGATTCCAAGCCATAGTCAAGTCTCTCTCTTTCTCTCTCTCTGACACACTGGCGCCCGATTTCTCTTTAAAAGCCAAATTCTCGATTTCATTTCTGTCTATTGATTATCAAATGCCGTACGGGATCAAAATTCTCCATAAATTTTGCAGTAACTTCTAATTCGGGGCTTTTATTATTAGGATTTAGTTTTGGTGTTTGATTATCAAGAGCGAGAGAGTGCTAAAGAGAGAGATCGATAAATAAATAATGTTATCAAATCAATTACATAATGGAATGGAGACTGCGAAGCTACTGTGGTCTCGGATTCCAAACTCAGAGGACGGCGAGCTTGAAGGTGTTGGCTTGTTGAGCACCAGCAATGGAAACGCTGTTGAGAGTCTTGACTATGAAGTTATTGAGAATCACGCGTATCGAGAAGAGCAGGTTTTGCTTTTCTTTTTGTATTAATTATCGTTGTAGTTTAATTTATTTGTGAAGTTTTGGTTAATTGTTTTTATTGGTTCTGTTTTGGATCTGATAGGCGCAGAGAGGGAAGCTTTATGTTGGATATTATGTGGTAGTTAAGTGGTTCTTTGCTTTGCTCATTGGTATTGGTAAGTTTTTTTTTTTTCAACTTTTGAACTCGGTTTGAAGATTTATTAGTATTTAAAAAAAATTATAAATGGAATCATTGAATTAATCATGTATTTTTTAAGTAATATTTTCCTGGTTTTTAAATTAAGTAGAGTCCTTGGCATAATGTTTACTAGGAGGTTTTTAAAGATTATTTTGGCAATTTCAGGTACTGGCTTAGCGGCTGTTTTCATCAATATATCTGTTGAGAATTTTGCTGGCTGGAAGTTTGCGCTGACGTTTTCAATAATTCAGAAATCCTATTTGGCTGGATTTGTAGTATATGTATTAATTAACTTGGTTTTAGTCTTTTCATCTGTATATATCGTTACGCATTTTGCACCTGCAGCAGCAGGTTCTGGTATTCCAGAAATTAAGGGTTATTTGAATGGTAAGCTGGAGATCTCGATCGAATTTCTTTGTATTGCTTGGGTTTGAGCCTTTTCAACTTTCATGTCTTGTAGTGCTCATTTCCATTACGTGTGCAGGACTTGATATTCATGGTATTCTACTCTTCAGAACTTTGATTGGAAAGGTGGGATAGAGCTTTTTTGGTATGAATTTTCTTTTTCTCAGATTTTCACTGCCTTGATTTTGAGGGTGTACTATTTTAATTTGTAGATATTTGGAAGCATTGGTTCTGTGGGAGGTGGCCTTGCTTTAGGAAAAGAAGGTCCTCTTGTTCATACTGGTGCTTGTATTGCTTCCTTGCTTGGACAAGTAAGAACTTAATGCATGGAGTGGGATATGTTCTTGAATTGAAATCATGTGTTTCAGCATCATTTTTTAGTGGTTTCTCCAACAACCCTAGTTCCCTTTTTTGTTAATTTAGGGTGGATCTACAAAATATCATCTAAGTTTGAGGTGGCTTCAAGTTTTCAAGAGTGATCGTGATCGTCGTGATCTTGTGAGTAATTCTTCTAATTCACATAAACAACAGCTTAGACATTTTTGCTCTAGGAAATTGTGCCTGAAACCTATTTGCTTGTTAGATACTAGTACTTGTCCACAGATTTTGTGTGTGTGTTTTTTTTTCCTTTTCCTTTTTCTTTTTCTTATGTGTTTTCTTTTGGAATATTGGAGAAGGATACACTATGAATGATGTGTCATTTATTATTCAAATTCCTCCTCCAATTATAACTCTTCTGGATGTAGTTGGAATGCCACTTTAAAGCTCATCATGGTGTTTTTTTTTGTTTGTGCTATTATTATTATGAATTAATTTCTTGAAATTAGGAGAAATGAACATGATCATGAAAAATCATTAAGTTTTTCTTCTAGTGTTTATAGCAAATGTAGGGGCCATTGTACCATGCAACCAAGATATTGTTGGTTTGAGGATTAATAGCAGTCAATTCATTCACAATGGTTGAAGGGCAGGGTTGCTTCCAAGGTGTCTTTCTAGTATCTGTTTCAGCAGACTATAAGCGGATATGAGCAATATACATGTTGTGTGGCCTTAGTTTTTTAGTTGGTTAGGTAAGGAATGCTTTCTGAAAAAGGGTGTCGATCATGTAGACCCTTATTTGTGTACTTGTATAGTGATGAAAACATGACTTTGTTTTATGTTGGAGAGTTTGATACCATATTTCTATTCCCAACAAATCAGCTGTACCTAACATTGGAGAGTTTGACATTATCTTTTTTTTGCTCTCGTATATACTGAAACATTTTCAATATTGCGCTTATTTTTCTAAGAAAAGAGGTGGCATGCCTCTTTATTGTACTCATTTTTCATTTGTCTAATGTTTTGAAAAGGTGACCTGTGGGTGTGCAGCTGGTGTTGCTGCTGCTTTTAGAGCTCCTGTTGGTGGTGTATTATTTGCTTTGGAGGAAGTTACATCCTGGTAAGACAGTTCTGTTCTTGATTATGCTGCTAATATATGCATTTGCGTCAGCTACAAGCAAGATTACTTTTCATTATTATTATTTAAGTTTGTGCTATATCCGTGCATTCAAGTGTGGAAGCATGTGTTCACGTGCATTTTCCATTCATGTATATGAGTATGATCTGCGTTCACATGTTTGGTTCTCTTGTGAAAGATTGGTTGACCCATCTCTTTAAATGTTTTAAAAACTTAAACATTACTGTTCTGCCTTTGGAGGTGGAGGAGTCAACTTATGTGGCGTGTCTTTTTTACCTCTGCTATTGTGGCGGTTGTGGTGCGTACTGCTATGGGATGGTGTAAGAGTGGAAAGTGTGGGCATTTTGGCTCTGGTGGCTTCATAATATGGGACACATCAGAGTTAAGATATGATCTTTGCTGCACTTCTTTGGTAATCCCTGACTTAAGATTTTAATGATTCTCTAAATGCTTTATAATTATTCTTTTGACAGTGGTCAAGAGGACTACTCTTTTGAGGAGTTGCTTCCAATGGCCGTTATTGGGGTTATTGGTGGTCTACTCGGTAATTTCCTATTTACTAGTCTTCATACCTTGCTCATTAAGATGCAACAATTTTTTATTGGTTTGCTCTCATTTCTCCTTCCTTTTACTTAGGTGCCTTATTCAATCAGCTTACTCTTTATATAACTAGCTGGCGACGAAATTATCTACACAAGAATGGGAACCGAGTGAAGGTAAGAAAATAGGATGAATCTCAGAAGTCGTAAATTTTTTTCTTTTATATTTATGCTGGTCCTTTGAAGAATGCGATGTCACCTAATGTTTTACATTCGCTAACTTTCTCCACTCTTTAACAATATTGTGACAGATTATCGAAGCATGCCTCATCTCAGTGATTACTTCAGTTATTTCCTTTGGACTACCACTTCTGAGAAAATGCAGTCCATGCCCTGAATCAGATCCTGACTCTGGTATTGAATGCCCAAGGCCCCCAGGGATGTACGGAAACTATGTAAATGTAAAGATCTTGCCTTATCAGTCGGTGTTTCTATTTTTTAAGTCATGCGTTGGATTTCATTTTGCTGCCTGCCTTTCTAGAAATTTCATGCAAGAGCTTCCTTCTGCTGTCACAATTACGTATTTTAATAATTACTACATTCTTTGATATTTCAATGATAAGTATGCATATATCTCCCCATTACTTTGCTATGTGGGAAAAGAAAAATGAACAGTGAAAAACTGAAATTCTGTTGAAGATGAACTCAAGAATTATATGCATTCATATTTTATTTCTTTTTTCAATTAGATTTCTTGATTTTCTTGAAAAGTTTTTGGCATTACACTCAATTGTTTCTCTAAATTTGCTCCACAATTTTATTTATTTATTGTTGGTGTAACCCACAGTTTGATTTTTTATTTTGTTGGCTAATTGGCTCAACAATTCTCATGAACATAGCATAATGTATACCTCGTCATGGTAAGAGTTGTTGATACTGGAATATCCTGCAACATTAGGTCTTAGTGTTTTGTTTCTATGTACTTTCTACATGTAGCCTCTGAGTATTGTTATCTGATTTCATGCCATATGCAGTTTTACTGTGGCAAGGACAAGGAATACAATGATCTTGCAACGATTTTCTTTAATACTCAGGTTTTGCTAGAACTCTAAAAAGCCATTTTCTTCATGTGTGTGTTCTTTTAATGTGCTGTTTTTATGGTCTACGTTCTAATGAATTTAATGCGCTATTACAGGATGATGCCATAAGGAATCTGTTTAGTGCAAACACAATCCATGAGTTCAGTGCTCAGAGTTTATTGACGTTTCTAGTAAGCTCATTTTTTTCTCATTTTGCATACATGAAGACAAGCCTATGTTGTTTTCATTTTGCTGAACTAATATGGTTGCGTCTTGAGTCTTCACTATAATCCACTAGGCTAAACTCTCGAGTCCAAAGGAGCTTCCATGAATCAACCTGGAAATTAGAGTTCCTGAGATCCGTATAACAAAGAAACACAAGAGAAGCTCCACCTCTTGACTAAAAACTCAAATTACCAATATCAATTCTTCAAGACTGCTCCCAAAAATATAATTGAACAAGTGTGCCTGTGTAGGAATGTAAGCATAAAAGAGTCCTAAATAAGATAGGAAATAAATTAGTACTTCTGATTTATAGTGACTGCGAAAGTAATACCATATCATAAATAATATCAAATCCCAAAACGAACCATATCCTTAACTGTGTAATTGAGTCTTCTTATACTGTTGCATTTTGTTTCAAGTTCCAATTTGAAACTGGTAGATATTCCTTGTCCAGTTCCTGCTCTATAAATTCAAAGCTATCTGTCTAGGGCTCCTTTGTGGACAAGAAATTTGTGCAACACAAAAATTATCAGTCTTTTTGTGGTTGATGGGAGACTATGTCAGAATGAATGCTTCTACAAGGATAGCACTAGATGAACAATTCTAGTATAAATGGAATCCCAAGTGGAAGAGAATAAAACATCTGATATAGTCAAAGAGGTAGATGCTGCCAGCAAATTCTTCAAGCTCATGCTCATGTATCTGTTTTGCAAGCTATGGGTTTTATATATCATCTGTTTTGCACCCCCAAAGACAAATTTTTGCGTCTCTATAACCCAGGAAGTAGTCTCACATGGTTTTTGGTGATGTTCCATGGCATTGTAAAGCTTAACATTTTAAGAAGTTTAATTTTTGTGGCTTGATGCCTTGTTCTCTAAGCTGCCCATTTCTTTCTTTTCTTCTATCCAAACAAATAGGCTTGTAATTCAGTCTACCTTCTCCTGGTTTACAATTTTTGCAGGTTATGTTTTATACTTTAGCAGTGGTGACATTTGGTACTGCAGTTCCTGCTGGTCAGTTTGTTCCTGGAATTATGATAGGCTCCACATATGGACGCCTGGTTGGCATGTTTGTTGTTAATTTTTACAAGAAGCTTAACATTGAGGAGGGAACGTAAGTCTCTCATTTGGTTCAATGAAATTTTTACCTATTAGACATCAAGCACTATAGAAGATTCATGATAGATTTTGGGCATTCATTTTTTGCGTATTGTCAAAAGCTTTGCTTTTATTTTAGTTAACGAGCAAAGATGACCTAAAATAAGCTGCCCTGATTGAATGGTTTTTTGTGTTTGGACAAATTTTAGGTGTTCCAATGTTTCAGTATTTTCTGTTTTCATTCCCTCCTTTTTTTCCATTGCATTCCTTGCTTAATACAGAGATGGTCCTTTGCTTTCATCCATACAAAGAAATTTGTTGGATTCTGCATTTGTTTCTGAAGTGTTTCTGTATGCTTCTTGGTGGATTTCTAGATATGCGCTATTGGGGGCAGCTTCTTTTCTCGGAGGTTCAATGCGAATGACTGTCTCTTTATGTGTAATTACGGTTGAGATCACAAACAACTTGCAACTTTTACCTTTAATCATGCTTGTTCTCCTGATATCAAAGGTATGCTTTTCTGTTTGCATACTGGCTTATGGATGCTCTGTGAAATACTAAGTTTTTCTCTCGCTGCAGGCTGTTGGTGATGCATTCAATGAAGGTCTTTATGAAGAACAAGCACGATTAAGAGGAATTCCACTGTTGGAATCTAGACCTAAATACCAAATGAGAAAGATGACAGCAAAGGAAGCTTGTGGAAATCAGAAGGTGATTTCAATGAAATGCATCATACTTCTGTCTATATTTCAGACAGTTGCTGCCTTGTTGTGTAACTGAAGCTTGACACTTATAGTTGATGCTTTGAGTTGCATGGAGTCTTCAGGAACAGCCAAAAAAAAAAAAAAAAAACTGCTGTCCTGTGGATAAATTTGAACAAGGGTAAAGTGTAATTCTGCTTCGATATTCTTTGAATAGAAAATGAAAATACAAATCTGAGAAGGGTTTGGGAAGAGGAAGCAGTAAGTTCTTACCAATAAAAGATTGAAAAGTTGGTCTAACTTATTGACTCTAACCCTCTCTCTATTCTTTTCTGTAAAATGTTCTCAAATCATGGTATCTCAATTCTTGGGAACTTAGAGATGGGGGAGGTTTGTCAAGTGCCATCCAAAGCTCATCAGGACTTTCTGCTTTCCTTTTTTTTTTTTTTTTCCTCTCTGTACTTGGATTGCATGCCATCCTGAACTTAAGAATTTTTGTTGTGTTTTTCCTTCATCTTTGTAGGTTGTCTCCTTTCCTCGTGTTGTTAAGGTTGCAGATGTTGTTTCTATTTTGCGGAGCAACATGCACAATGGCTTTCCTGTAAGTTGTGCTTCCATTTCTTTTGTCTTCTCTTGTTTATACTTGAGATGCCTAAAGTTTATTTGCTGTCTACTCAGGTGATTGATCACACGAGAAATGGGGAAACAATTGTAATTGGAATTGTGCTTCGTAGGTAGAACATATATGTGTGGCTTGATTTGTTAGAAACCGAGGCAGTACACTGGCTGAACAAACTAATTTTAGTATTTGGTTTACATTGCAGTCATTTGCTAGTCCTCCTTCAATCCAAGGTGGAGTTTCAGCATAGTCCTTTACCGTGTGATCCAGCAGGTGTATCAAAATCAATCAGGTACTTGGAGGGTTGGTGCCTCCTCCTATTTTCGTTACTGACACCATTCTCAATGGGTCCTTTGCTTAAGATAATGAGTTCTATTCTCTCCAGGCACAACTTCATTGAGTTTGTGAAACCTGTTTCCAGTAAAGGAATTTCTATAGAGGATATTCATTTAAGTTCAGACGACTTGGAAATGTACATAGATCTTGCCCCAGTTTTGAACCCCTCTCCATACGTTGTCCCTGAAGATATGTCTTTAACAAAGGTGAAGGTCTTTAGCCCACCATTACTAATCATCTGTTTCATCCCGTTATACTTCTCATCTCATCCAAGAAAAATTGCATCTTGTTTATGGTGTAGGTATATAATCTTTTCCGCCAACTAGGGTTGAGGCATATATTTGTTGTCCCTCGTGCCTCTCGGGTTGTTGGAATGATTACAAGAAAAGACTTGCTGATTGAGGTGTGCTAATAGCATTTGCTTTCTCTGTGGTTTTCAATTTGACTGGTCCGTATAATAATGGAAGTTATGGCCTGTGTTACAGGATAGCGAGGATTCAGCTAATGTGGAGCTCCAATCAACTAGTGTAAGGTCTCTATGCTGCTTTACTCCTGTTATATTTGTTAGCTATGATACATATGCATAAAAGAACTGAATTTGATTAGGGAAAGCTAAGTTTTCATCATGTGGATGTTCCTTCCACTCAAATGAATGTAAACTATGATCATGTTGCCATAGCAGCACCTTGGCCTTGCTGATGCATATCATCACTGCCAATGATGAAGTTTACCCATTCAGCACTTAATTTATGGATGCACAGCAATCTCCATATAGAAATTTACATGGCAGCCATTAAGGAAAGCTGTTTGTTGTGTCTGTGACTTGGAACTTGTTTGTTGATCACAACTCTTGGTGCTGATGAGTCCTGAGTTCCCCCTTATGTATTATAATGATATATTAGTAACGACTTTCTCCTGGTCAAACACCTTAACATGTCAAAACCTTTTACTTTGTTCTTATTCCAAAAGTAATTAATTGATTTATTGGGTGGACATTGCCATGGTTCCAGATAAAATTGGGCGTTTCTATTTTTCCTAGTGTTTCATTCAGCTGCTATATCAGCAGTAATGCTAATATAAATGCTCTTGTAGCATGGAATAGCCTGGTATATTTTCAACCTTTTGATCCTTTGATTGTGTGGTGGCAGAGGGCGCCATCAAGATAGGATGATATCGAGGAATGCAGATGTGGAGCGCCCACTTCTTAATGGCCTTCTAGTTCAAGATCATATGCTTGGTTGAAATTATTATTTGACCTTCCTCTTTGGGCGACACCTGGTTGATTCTGCTGTCCAATCTTCCTCGAAGATGGATTCTCATTTTAGCTTCCTCCATTTTTTTTCCCTATGACATTAGATTGTGTCCTTAGCATTATCTCCACAAATCCTCCTAGGTTACAGGGTTCAATATGGTTCTCTAATTTGTACCCCCTGTCATGTAGGGGATCATAAATAAACCACACCCACCTATTTTGTACATCTGATGATGATTGATATGAAGAAAATTCACATGATGATGAGAAACGAAACTGTAGATAGAATAGTTTTAGTAGTGGGAGTTGAATGTGGTTGCTAATTTTCCTAAAGGTTATTCAGAAGCTCAAGTTTGGAGTGCAAGATAGAGGTCAATTTGATCTAGTCAGAGTAAAGTTGGGAGTTTTGGTGCGTTGTAATTTTTCCTTGGTAGTGCGAAATGATTGAAGGAGCAAACGGATACAGTGAAAAGTTCTAATCATTTGAAACACAATTTACCTTTTGGAATCCAATATATCTATCTGATTGTTCATGAATATGAACTTAAATTTGCTATACTGACAGAATCTTACACTGCCATTAGATAGCTCGCTCTTCTCGTGACCTAAAATGTGGTGGTGGATGGATGAAAAAAGGATTTTCATGAGATTGGAAGTGAGAACCAACCAGGGACAACAAATTCCTCGTACCACCTTTTCGCACTCTGTTCTGTTAGCATTTTCACAAACAAATGAATTCAATGGAATGGTGAACTAGTAACGGTGCCTCTGGGTGCGTGCATTTGTGATTTTGTTCCGAGGGGCGAGAGAGGACTCATTTGGTGGTGAACCTTGAAAAGTTTAAATATGTTGTTAGTTTTGGGTAGAGTGCGTAGCGGGAGGTTTGAGTCTTATACGCCCTTCTCTCTTTCGGGGGATTAAGAAGAACTTTTATAGGAGTTTGCATCTAATTAGCATCTAATTATCATGGAATGTTTAAGGTTAAACTATTTGATAGGGATTTTTATTTTTTTCCTGTTGAACCACTTCTGATACGAAATTAAAAGCCGAGTGTAAGAAAGTTGAATGAATTCGATAAGATTTGAAGTGCTTGGTTCAGAAGTTAGATTACAAAAAGATGGAACTTACTCCTATAAATTCATTTGTATCTCACTTCTACCCCTATGGTTTAAAGTCATCAACATTACCCTTATAATTTTCAAAAAGTTCCATTTAACCATGACGATCTAATAGCTAATGAAACCTACTGTTGAACCCACTTTTTTAATTTTCTGTTTTGAGTTCTCTTATATTTCTACTAGATATTGTTACATATATAGGAATTTGAGAGGATAGAATGATAGACCAAAACAAGAAAGCATATGGGAAAAAAAAAAAAAAAAAGGTTGGTTTTCCTAGCTATATAAACAAGGAATGGTAACATTGAAACTTCAAAAAAAAAGAAAAAAAAGCATGATATAAGAATATTTAAAGAACTCTAAAACACAAAGCAGAATTACTGTTGTTTTCGCTTAGCCGCATGCTCAACTTCAATATTCCTTCTTGTTCATGCTACGGTATACATTGCAGTCTTCATTGCCTTTCGTTAAACCAGAGGAAAAAGTTGGATTGAATGCGTAAATTATTTTAAGCCGTGACTCTTAGAAATCTGGTCAGTTCTGACTGGATTTACAAGAAATCCAGTCATGCCCAAGATGGTTTTCCCAGCCAGGTTATTAAAGATCATGCCTTTGCCTGTTAGACTAGAACGCTAGCGTTCCTTTGCCTGTCAGCCTAGAACACTAGTTTTAAACTATAAGGGTGAAGGTCCAGAACATCGGTGAATCTAAACAAAAAATTCGAATAAAATAAAGTTTTTCCTTAGGAAAAAAAAGAAGAAGAAATTTACAGATGTGGAGTGCTTAGTTCTGAACGAATATTTTGTGTGTTTTCAATGGGTACTTAAGGTGCTATAATTCAAGTTTGCGTACAAAATGATGAGATCGGTTTTCCAACACATACAAGAATAAGCAATTAACATTTGGTAATCTTAAAAAGCACACAACATACTTACAATGGCTTGTTGCAAAGCAAATGGAGTAGTGCTTCTCTCTTTTTTAACACAACAAATTGCCATTTGGATAGTAATTTCGAAACAATTAGTTAAGTCATAGAGTGATATAATAAAGTTTTACAACAGGAGTAACAAGAATGCTCAACAGAATGCAACGTGAAGGCATTAGCAGAGTATGTCCCACACATCCATACTGGAGACAGTTTATGATTGATTTCCACTTTTCATGGGAATTTCAAGAGTTTCTGATAGGTGACGAGTAAGAAATGGGCTGGATGTCTGAATAAGCACAGCGCATTAGATGAAGAGGTTGGAGGGGAGAAAAGAAACTGAAAAAACGTTAATTAGCTGATTAATTAGAAAATGTAACTTAACCATTGGTTATTATTCACTGTATTATTTGAAACACTCGTTTATCCAAACTCATTCCCACTATTCACTCGGATTCGGATGCATTATTTCTTTCACTATATAATGATATTTTTGTAATTTTTAAATATTTTAAAGATATTTATTCTGAAAGTTTTCGTGAAATTACACTTTGGTTTTTTTTTTAAATATTATTTTTTTTAGTCCATAAATATTTTTTATTTGATTTTGGTCTCTTTTTTTTTTTTTTTAGTCACTTTGGTTCTTGCTTTTTTTTCTCTCGATTTTTTTAATTAAAAAAATTTAAGGCAAAAAGATGTTTAAAAAAAATACAAAATAAGTTTTTAGCTAAAAATGTGAATAGAGATAAATAAATAATATTTTTTTAATAAAAAATTATAAAAATATAAAGAATGATTAGTCAGTTATAAAATTCTGATTAAAAAATGATAAAATTGAATAATTTTTTTTTAATTTTGATTTGATATATCTTGGTAGACGAGACATCAAAATAAAATAATTTTATTTTATGTATTTACACTATAGGGAAAAAAACTAATTTAAATATACTCAAACAAAATGGGATTGTACTGTAGCTAAGCCTTTTTTTTTGGCGTTTTGTAAATTTTTATTTGTTTTAGTCTCTATTTTGCAATCTTATCTCTATTTTGACCATTAGAGTTTAGATCATGTCATTTTTTGACCCTGCTCACCACAAACTTTTCTTTGTTTTTTTTTTTTTATTTAGATCCTTATATTATACTTTTATTTTGATACTTCAAAATTTAAATTTATTCTTATTATGCTCATTTTTATTGTTGCACTTTAATTTTCTTAAAATATTTAATTAAATTATTAAAAATAAGCTATTTGATTTTATTTTAATATATTATTAGAGTAAATTAGCGAGGACTATTATTTAAATAAACAATCTGGGCTTTTTTTCTTGGTGGAGAAATTAATTATATTTAGGTGTGTAAGAGAAAAGATTTTATATATTTTTAGATGAATATAAATATAGAAGAATAACAAAACCAAAGACCTAAGAAATGACTAAATTAAAATCTCCAAAATTTTACTATTCCTAAGTTCTTCTTTTTTGCTTTTAACTAAAGTTTTCTTTTTGTTTTAGCCTCTATTATATGCTTCTTATTTTGTTTTGATCATTAAAGTTTTGTTATGTGTGATTTTTGCCCCTACCTTATACAATGGATTTTTTTTTTAATTTTATTGTTCCTATGCCTTTTACAGTTTTCGGTGAATTTTTTTTCTATTTTTGTCTCGTGTTTTGTTATCTTTATTATTTTTTATCATTAAATTTTTATGATTTTAATTACATGCATATAAAATCTCTATTATTTTGTGTTGCATTAAGCTAAAGTAGAGTTTTTCAAGTCCATATATAGAAATTTATGGAAAAAAATATTAGGGTTTTTTTTTTTTAAGAATTTTAGATTCAAATTTTTATTTAAGAATCAATGCGTACGAAAAAAAAATCATGTTTTTCAAAAAAAAAATTATAAAAAACATAAGAATAAATCAATTAAATACAAGATTTTGATTAAAAAGTTATTAAAATTGATTTTTTTACTTTTGTTTTTTATGTTTTTTAAAAAAATTATTTTAAATAGATCGAGAATTGGGTCGTTGTCGATTAAGTCATTTTTTGATGACTTTTGGCCATGACTTCAAGGGGGAATCACTCTTGGGAGGAGGCCGACTAGTTCTATGGTGGTGGAAGTTGGTGAATTGGCCGAATTTGAGAGATTCGATCGGATTGTTAAATGAGTCGGTCGTTAATCTCCTCTCCTCAATTTTGACCAAATCGACATCTCCTCCTTCTCCAATTGGTAGAGAATGGTGGATTTCGGTGTGGGCTATCGATTGGTGATCGTTGTTGGAGGCAATATCAGCCGAAGGACCACCAATTTGAGAGAAGAAAATCAACAAGTTTGGTAGGTCAACTCTGCGAGTTGATGTGTTGGTTTCTCCTTGGGTTGTTTGGCTTGATTTTTTTTCTTTTTTTATTTGTGTCCAGCTTAAATGGCTAAATGGGTTGAGTATTTATAGGAAAAAATTATAGTTTTAGGCAAATAATACCCTTTTCTTTTTTCAATTAAAATCTTTGAGTTTTAATCCTTTCAATTGCATCATCAATGAGATTTTTTTTGCTACCCACCCTTTGTATTTTTAAATTGAACTCTCGAATTATTATTTTTTGTATTTTTTTTTATTGAAACTCCAGAATTATTATTATTTTTTAATAATTTTTTTCTTTTCTTCTTTTTTTTTGTATTTTTTTAAACTCAAATATTTAATTGAATTACTTGAGGTAGAAATTGGGTGCTAACAAAATTCATCAATTCAAAATATGTGTTGTAAAGCGTTGCTGTAATTAATAATATGAAGAGGAAAAAGAAAGAAAGAAAGAAAGAAAGAAAGAAAGAGGAAGGAAATTATTGAACGAGAACTGATCTAATTGGAAACAAAATGAGCTGGAGATTAGTGAGAAAAGGGGAGAGACTACCTATATTTAATTAGATTGAGAGTTAATAATTGAAGTGAGAGAATAAAAGATTGATAAATAGGGGAAATTGGATCTCAAAATATCTCATTAGCATTGCAGGATTAGAATATATATATATATATATATATATATACTAGCACATACCCCGCACGTTGTCGCGGGATGAGTTATACAATATTTTTATGTGTATATCTATATAAAATAAAAATTTAAAGATAATTATTTAAAAATATCACACGAAAAAAATTCAAAAAATAGAAAGACCAAAACATATATTTCGTGCATTGCCGTAAGGTTAGCTAAATGAAAAATTTACAAAATTGAGCAATATAATATTGCTAATTAAATGTTGTTTGATATAAATATATATTTTATTATAAATATGTATAATAAATGATAATTAAAATAATGATGTGATAGTTTTTTGAAGTTTGGATGATTAATTTCTATTTTATGTTCTCCATTTGTAGTTTGTTAATGAGACAGAAAAATGCCACCTAAAACAAAAGAAATTTTTTTTTTTTTGGTCAAATCGGAATGAAATTGAAATATTTCAAAACCTATTTGACAAAAATAGGAACAAAAATTACATACGACAAAATTTAAATGATAAAAAAAATAAAGATTATAAAATAAGAATAAAAAAAATTTCAAAAGGCAAAAAAAGACTTATGAATAATAAGATTAAAAAAAAACTCATTATGCATAAGTCACGAATAAAAATCAAATATGATAAAAATTTAATTAAAAAAAATTACAACATAGGAACCAAAATAGAAAGAAAATTTTAACTAAAAATCATAAAAGACTTATGAATGTGAAATTGTATTTAATTTTAATATAAAAAAAATCAAATATAATAAAATTTTAATGATTAAAATAAAGACAAAAACACAATAAAAAAATTCACTAAAAGTAAAAAGAAGTTTCTTGTTTCATTTGGGTGATCTATAAACGTAATGGGTGATTTCTAAAGTTTGATTTGGGTAATTTTGTTGCAGCAACAAGTAGCAACCACATTGCAAATGTCAAAATTTAGTATATCCGGACGTGGTTAATTGTTATACACATCATATATAAGTCATTTTCCTCGACTTTTTAGGGAAAAAAAAAACCAATCACTCGCCACATGTATAACTAGTTAAAAGAATGTTAAAGAAAAAAAATAAAAAAAGACTAAAACGAAAGCAAGAGAAAAATCGAGGACGCAAAAGAAAAAAAACTTAACTACACGCCAAAAAAGGGCTTAGCTACAGTACAACATCATTTTATTTTAGTATATGTTATAATATATATATCAAATTTGCCAAATTTTCCTACACTTAGTGCGATGATTTTATACATTATAACATATACTAAAAGCAAATAAAGTTTCGTTGTAGCTAAGCTCCTGCTATAGTGAAACCAAAACGATGTTGTTTTGTGTCTTTTAGACACAAAACAACGTCGTTTGCCCAAAATACATAAGTGATTTTTTTGTCAATTTATCAAGATTTTATACTTTGGTCTTCGAAGTTATTACTTTATATAAAACGGTTCCTAATTTTAATTAATATTATCAAAAGGTCCCTATCATATTTTTTTTCGGGCTAGATTTTTTTCATTAATTATTTTTTAATCAAAAGAACTTTTTTTCCATCATCAATGGTTATTTTTTCTATTTTTAGAAATATTCATGAACTAAAATTAAATATTCTTCTAATATAAATTGATTAAACACCTCATTCTAATTGGGTTTTTTAAAAATAAATAATTAATTGCATATATTTTTTATCTATCAAAATAAAAAATATTCCTAAGAAATATTTAAATTCAATTATATATATATATATATATATATATATATATATATACAATTTTTTTTATAATGAGTGTTAATTAATTTTTTTTAAATTTATATTTTGAAATTATTTAAAATATTAAAAACATAGATATGATAAACTTACTCGTAGCAATGCGCGGGTATTGAGCTAGTCTCTTTCTATATGATTTTATAAATCCATTATCCGGCAAGTAAATTATTTATGTATCATAGCTGTTAGTAAGATTTTGATAAATTATAAAATCTTACTAACAAAATTTAAAAAAGAGTGTCAATATATCAAAATCTTTTTTTTTAAAAAAAAAATCTGATTTCAAAAAGAAAAAAAAAAGAAAAAGAGCGTTAATATACCAAAGAGAGAACATGAATCAGATTTTGTATCTTACAGCATGATTATAGGCTACCATAGAATCAATTTAATTTGTGATTTCGAAATTAGAAAGATAGCATTTTAAATTAAAGATATGTTAATTCAGGATAAATAGATTACATCACTGTCTACTTTCGAAGAGCTAAGTTGTTTATTCGTGACAAGGAAAACATTATGGGAAAAATATTGCCATGCGAGGTGATTAATGAATTTTATCTGTAAGAACATATAGACAATATCAAGTAGGAATATTAAAGAGGTGTAAGAATTTTATCCAAAAAACCTAGCTAGTCATTATGTTTTCCACGGAGGATCCGGATCAAATTAATTAATATTCCGATTACCTAAAATAATTGATTTTGCCAAATTAATGACAACTTGCCTTGCATATCCGCCTCAAATTAATCTCTCTCGCCAGCCTACAAAACCCAAGCAAGAACCTGTAACTCTTGTCGACAAAAAGTTTTTTTTTTTTTTTCCTCTCTATTTTTTCACTTAATAATTAAGTACGTCGAGAAAGAGAGATGGTAGACACTGAGAAGCATGAACAGAATTTCCCATCAAAACTCACTGTTTATGTGGTCGTATGTTGGATTCTTGCAGCTTTTGGTGGCTTGATGTTCGGTTACGATATTGGAATCTCAGGTATGCAGTCATTTTAAAAAATAAATAAATCAATTCAAATCCATTATATATAATATTGTAATTTTTAACTAAGAAAATAAGTTGTACTCCTAATCAATTTACTTGTTACAACAAGGTATTATGTTGGTCCGAGTAACATGGTTTTATCTTCGATTTATGCTTGCATACAGAGAGCTTTAGAACATGGCCCCACTATACCTGTTTTCTTTTTCTTTTTCTTTTCTTTTCTACTTTTTTCATACTATGCTTATTGGATACTAGGACTTTTTTATTTTCTTTGTTTGAGAAAAATAAATTGACGATTATAATACAATATTTCGCTACAGAACTCTGCTACAGTATTTCCCTGTAGAGCTAGCGCATGTTCTGTTCAGTTGAGTAGAAAAGTCCAGGTTTCTCTCCAGTTCTGGAAATGAATTTGTTCCATGTTTTACTCTCCGATCCAAAGTATAAAAGCGGCTAAATCAGAGTAGGGTAATTATTATTATTTTTTTTTCAGTTTCATTATTTCAAAACATAAATAAATAAATCGAAGTGGGATCCGTCATTAAATATCAAAATTTGAAATGGTTGTATCTACTAAAACTACTAGTAAATAATAGAAAATTTTCCGATAAAAATTGGACTCTATTAATTTTAAGGGTATTAATAAAATGATAATAGTGCTTTAGGATAATTTTTTTTCTTCTGGTTAAATTGAAATTAAAAATCTCCAAAGATTTTATGTATGACCATGTAGTTCTTTAGTTAGGTGATTTTGAAATTTTTTTTTTTTTTTCCATTGAATGAATTTGGAGTGGCATTTCTTGTTCAGTGTATTAATAACGATACTGTACTATTTCTATTGTTAAAGATTGTGTATATGACACTTCTGTCAACCGAAATTTTTAGAATGAAGTTAAATTCCCTTATCCTAGAAAAGGGTAAATTGAAAGGTGAAAGTTGGCTAAGTTTTTCGGTTCAAATCAATTGTGGGTTATGCATATTGATCTAAAACACTGTAAATAATGATTTTGTATCGATGATCAGGTGGAGTGACAGCCATGGATGACTTTTTGATTCATTTCTTTCCAACTGTTCATGAAAGAAAGCTTCATGCCGAGGAAAACAATTACTGCAAGTATGACGATCGATATCTTCAGCTTTTTACATCTTCACTCTACCTTGCTGCCCTTGTTTCCAGCTTTGGTGCATCAGAGGTATGCACTAAATTTGGCCGAAAGACTACAATTCTTGTTGCATCAGTACTTTTCCTGTCTGGAGCGGCCATGAGTGCTGGTGCTCAGAATATTTGGATGCTAATCATTGGCAGGATCCTCCTTGGTTTGGGGGTGGGATTTGGCAATGAGGTATGTCAGATTTTAGCAAAATTTGTTACTGAATTCTTTAGAATCATAAAAACTTCCTTCTCAGAATATTGAAAAACACCGCAGGCAGTTCCTCTATTCTTATCAGAGATAGCACCGGTGGAACGTCGGGGGGCTGTGAACATTCTCTTCCAATTCTTTGTTACGATAGGGATATTCTTTGCCAATCTAGTCAATTATGGCACATCAAAGATGCATCCATATGGATGGAGAGTATCCCTGGGGCTTGCTGGTGTGCCAGCTTTGTTCCTGTTTATAGGATCCATAGTCATCACCGAAACACCGACCAGTCTGATCGAACGCGGAAATGAAACTGCAGGGCATATCACGCTCAGGAAGATTAGAGGAGTCGACAACGTTAATGCCGAGTTTGAGCAAATTAAAGCTGCCAGTGAGATAGCCAGCCAAGTCAAGCACCCATACAAGAAACTCATGAAGCGCTCTAGCATGCCCCCACTAATTATAGCCATCCTGTTGCAAGTCTTTCAACAGCTTACAGGAATCAATGCTATAATGTTTTACGCACCTGTCCTGTTTCAAACTGTTGGATTCAAAAACGATGCTTCACTTTTGTCAGCTGTGATCACTGGAATTGTGAATGTAATAAGCACATTGGTCTCAATCTTTGCTGTGGATAAGGTTGGGAGGAGGATTCTGCTCCTTCAAGCCTGTGTGCAGATGTTCATAAGCCAGGTGAACATTCTTTTCTGTTTGCTTTATTTTCATTGCCAAATCTGCTAGAGTACACTTGTATGACGTATTTTGCATATATCCTGTCTTGCTGAATGAAAAATTTTTGTAATGCAGGCTGCAATTGGAGCAATTTTACTAGCTTTCTTGTCAACTACAGGCTCACTTACCAAATTACAAGCAGCTATTGTTGTGGGGCTGGTATGTTTGTTCGTTATGTCCTTTGCATGGTCCTGGGGTCCTCTTGGCTGGTTGATACCAAGTGAAACATTTCCTCTAGAGACAAGAACTGCAGGGTTTGCTTTTGCAGTTAGCTCAAACATGTTCTTTACTTTCCTCATAGCTCAGGCATTCTTATCGATGTTGTGTAATATGCGTGCCTTTATATTTTTCTTCTTTGCTGGCTGGATTCTCAAAATGGGGTTGTTTGTGTATTTCCTGTTGCCGGAGACAAAGAATGTGCCAATAGATCTTATGGCCGAAAGAGTTTGGAAGCAGCATCCGGTCTGGAAAAAATTCATGGATTAATGGTAATAATCATAATTGACTGATAGAAGATCAAGGTCCAACAAGGATTTTTCTGTTCGTGTCCTGATTACCTGTTTGGATTTGGAAGCTTGAAGACGCCTCCTCGAAATAGGCATCTAAAGTTCATGTTTCTACTTAAGACTAAGTTTTATTTTATTGAATTAATGAAGTTCTTTTTTATTCTTTTTTCGGTTCTGGAGGGCAAATGATTCTAATAAAATGATTATAGATCACCTTTTTTTCTTTTTTATTGAATTGATGAAATTTCAACTGTTGACAGGGTCTTTCATATAAACGAATCTCTATACCAGGTTCAAAGTTCAATCAAAACAATCGATCAAAGATTCTAATAAAATGATTATAGATCACTTCTTTGATAACATTGATCTGTAGAACATTTATAATCCCCAAAAGTTTCAGCACCACAAAGCCCCCAAATTAAGCAAAATTGATCACAAGCGTTGCCAAAACAGCCATTGCCAAACCAATGTTACCAAAAGGACTTTTCAAAGCCTTCAATGGCATTGCATTACTTTGGGCTGGCCCGGGTACTTTGGCTGAAGGAACTGGCGGGGAGGGCACTGAAGAAGCAGCAGAAGGAGTTGGTGCCATTCCATCTCTCCGTAGCACATTAATGTCAACCTTCTGTCCAGCTTGGCAATGGCCAGGGACACCACAGAAAAAGAAATGGTGACCACGAGTCTTGATATTGATTGAATCATTGCCGGTGGTGTAGGTTGCCAAAGGGGCCGAGGTATTGCATGCTTTGTACATTGCATGTGTAACTCGCATCACATTGTGAAATTGAGCATTGTATTCGAAAACTGATACATACACCCATCGACAGTCAACAAGTGAAGATATAGTTTTAGTTAGAACCACAATTTAAAGGACGAGAAGATATAAATCCTGAGCCAAAAACTAGGCAGATATACTGATGAGCATAGAAGAATAACCAGAACTCCGGGGATCTAGTGCATTAGTAGGTATTGTATATAGCTAATTATCGATATGAAAATAAAATATGCCTTCTCTTGAAAGGGGTGGAGGGCATCTTCACTTTACATTCAAATACTAACGATCTCCATTCCATTCTCATCCGCAATACATTACTTACCTTTCAATTTGAACATATAAAAAAACAAAAGAAATCAGGTGAATGGATTATATCATGCCTTCTCAACATGTACCTAAACTAAGCAAATTCAATAAAAAGACAGCCATTAAAGATTTGGAATATCAGCTTTAGTCTTCACTTTAACCACAGCAGCAAACTTGCTATTTTTCTTTCCATTTCCATAAATTGTACGATGAATGGATGTGATGCGTTACTTACATCCCACCTCGCACGAAATGTCTCAAAAGAAAGAGACCCATACCGACATCATCATGCCAATGCACAGGATAAAGGGCCATCCTTGTATATGTGATGAACTATAGGGGAATGTATCAAGTCGAGTGTGGCTTTTTTTACGGGGGAAGTGAGAATCATCACCATTGAAAAGCATGCTAGAACAGGAGGGTCAGAGTTGTTTTGGTCGGGGCAACTTGTAATGTAATATATGCCCGTGCTTCAGTTGCATGGCCCACCATAACTCATCGTGAAATCTCAACAAGTATATGCTGGTGTTAAAATGGCCCAAAGCACTAATTAGAGGATTACAGGTCACTCGCATGTGTGATGAGTAAATATTATACGTGCCATATATTACTTTCTGTGCCAAAAAAGGCCAGTAATTCCATGCACAGTGGCTTGCCACAGGAACAGCCAGCTGGGAATGAACAACTCTCTTCAAGATCAAACACCAAAACATAGAAACCAAAACAAACAAGCAAAGAAACTGCTATTCCTGATCAGTATGCTGTATGCTAACCCCACCTAATTAGAATGAGAAACCAAGAGAAATAAGCATATATAGAATTATTAAATTTGAAATCGCACAATCTAGCAAAACCTATCCACTAATAAGCAGATCCTGAAATTATATGGAACACATAAATATTATTTCTAAGAAAACAATGTTAAATGGAAACTGAAATCATTAATTTTAGCTTACAAAATTATGGTTTGTATGGAAAATGAGAACCCCAAAATGAAACGCAAAGTAGAATGGAAAATCCAAAGCAACCATAAGATCAATGAGGTAAAGAACGTAGAAAGGGTAATTAACTTACGAATTATGTCACCAACTTGGAAGGTCTTAGTAGCAGACCATTGTTTGTAGTCAATTTTACCAATAGTGGTCCAACCAGCAGAGTCCCCAACCTTGTACATGGCTGCATGGATCACCTCCAGCATTAATGTCATTACTGTCAGCAGAGCCACGGCTCTCTTCACTAAAGCCATGGCTGCAAAACCGTGAAAAATTAAGATGGTTGATGGGTTTCTTTGCTTGAACTGAGTTACGAGAATTGGAGAGGCATCTTTCACTTCTGGCGTTTATAAATCTTTTGGCCTTACCTGGGTTGGATAGACGGTTGGCTATCATAAATGATGATGGATTTTAAGAAATGAAACTTTGGTACCCCATATATTTTCATATATTCAATTGAGGACCTCATTTATTGTAAATTGACAAAAGTGGTCCAAACTACGAGGAACGCACTTGTAAAGGTACAATTCTTTTATTGATCTTTTCCCTTCGGAATTTTTAAATGGAAGAAGGATAAGTTATCACATGTGTCTCGCTGTAAAAGTAATTTACATAAGCAGTTCGAAAGGAAAAAAAAAAAGTTAACCTGTTAATTAATTTATCAAAAAGTTTGTAATTTAGTAACAGTGTTTTCTTATAATAAAAAATTACGAATTTAAATTTTAACAAACTAATTTTATCGGGGACTTTTGATATATGAGTTAATATACATATACATACATATATATATATATATATGAAGAAAATAATCTTTCAACTGATTTCAAGATTATTTAGCTTGCTGATATGTAGATTTTTTAAAATTTCAAGGGTGACATTTGAAACAAATATACCTCGATCCCAACACTGTTTTGGGCGAAAAATTCTCAACCAAGTATACATGTTAAATATAAGTTAAAAAAAAATTAAATTAAATGTAGTGTTCATGTAATGTATTTTTTTAACATGCATGTATTTTAAAGACACACTTTAATTGCTCTAATTAAAATATTTTACTTAAATAATTAGTTGATTTACTTTCATAATTAAATAAAATTATATTCTATAATTCAATACTTACAAAATTTAATTGTGCTATTTACATAAAGTAACATGCATGAGTCTTAATGACAGTACTTGTTGAAAAAAAAACATTATGTAAATTTTGTAAGGAAAATATTTGAGATAAAGTTAAGAGTAGCTAGGGATTACAGTTTGTCCACCCTGACATGGGCAGTAAAATATATTAAGGGAGGAAATTAATTAGCGAGATCGATGGCTCATAACTAAGAGTCCAAACCATGTTCTCTCTCATGTGGGTTTTGAAATTGAGGTGGGGAAAATGAGTAAGAGTTTTAATTAAGTACCACGACCGTTTTGTTGAGAACCAACAGTTGGCTGGCGATATGGTAGTTGCCACTTGCCACACCAATCCGTAGTGTATTTTCCGCATGGAGCAACTTGAAAGGAAAGAATGCTGGGGGTGTTGGTGGGCGGTGGGATGGCAATTACCTAGGCAGAAATAGAGCACCTCCTTTTTATTTTTGTATTGGTCAGGGCAATAATTTCGAGCCCACCATAATTATTTCCTACTGGTTGACTCCAATTGCTTACTTTGTACCACGAAGATGGGTAGTCTTGCAATCCACGCTACGCTATTGCACGTTACTCGCATATTTCCCTATCTAACCTCTTGTTCTCCCCAAAAAAACATATTCTGTACTCTTTTTGGGTATATAACCTCCCGTTTCAGGTTCTTGATGTATTTCATTGCAATATATAGAGTTGATATCACTTGGGTACATTAGAGCAGCAGTGTACTAACGAAGAAAATTAACCAGTAGAATTTTTGGGATTGGATTTTGGCATTTCTCTTGACCTTATATGTGGCTTTAGTGACGGATCAGAAATAAAATCTAATCCGTCTGATCCGTCTGATCCATCGCTAAAGTGCTGATCTTTTTTTAGCGATGAAATTTTTTCTCTCTCTATTGAACAATGGATTTTTGGTGGTTATTTTGTTAATATTTCATCGTTAAATTGTTCTAAATCAGTCTAATCGCATTAGTTGCTAACCATCGTTATTTTCAATTGTTTTCATCATTCCACTTGTAAGTGATCACGAACCGCTCGTAAGAATTTGGATTACTACCCAATTTATGATGCTAAAAAAGTAAATAAAATAATATAAGAGAAATAAATAAAAAAATAAATTTATAACACAATAGATAATATAGTATTTACAAAACATCCAGAATACTTGATCAAAGAGATGGGTCCTCTAGTATATTTGAATGGGCCAGCACCGACACCATTTGTTTTTAACATGCGGTTCCGAGATGCTTGTCGAGATCGGACCTAATAATCAAGAATGGCTAAGTCCCGGTGTCATGCTTCCTATACCTCCCGTTTAACATACACAGGTATGTTATCTTTATTCTTCGACTTGTTGAGCATGTCATCGTATCGCCTTCTTGCGAGACTCTCTCATGCAACCTTAATCACTTGGATTGACAACTCGTATCTCCACAAAAGTACTTCTACATGAAGAAAAAAAATAGTATTAGTATTTTTCATGTTAAATTAACACTTTAAATAAAATATAATAAAATAATTAATATATTATTATAACTCATTGAAGTAGAAATCTTTCGTTTCTATGGAGATAGACTTCCATATGGAGCTACCAACGTCTAACCGCTCTATGAAAGTTACGATGATTTTTATGGAGCACTTGTTTGATAGAACCATATTGGTGAACAAAAAAAAAAAGTAAATAAGTAAATTAATGGTTTCAATATAATATATGAAAATATAAAATTAATTACCATATGTAAAACATATTACTTACTAGTTATTCACGATCCAAATGGTCCATTATTAGTAGTAAGACTTCTTAGAACAACTACGGACAACTAAGAGTGATTGTCACAACCAAGTCAAATCTTTTTATTTGTTGTATTCAATATGTCATAAAAAACTCGAGCTTCGGGATTTCATACTTTGATTTGTGCTAGATTGATTAAATAATGGATCGATTACACCTATCACCATTGTTTCATGTGAATTAGGGGCTCGACTACAACTCTCTTCATTTTCATGAAATTTTCCGACACAACATAACTCCTCAAGTCAACTTTCTCATGGTGTATTCGGTTATAATACCCGTGCACAAAACCGTATCTCATTAAATAGTATCTCATCATGTGAATTTCTTCAAAATTTTATTCGACGCTTATTGTAATTGTAAGAACACCTTAACTTTTTTCAATTCATACATTCGGGATGAATAACAACAAATTCAACAAATTCTTCGATCGATCACAAAATCATCATTTAAATACAAGTCTATACATGTAATATACATCCATTCACGATCGGACCTCATTATTTTGTTTTTGCATTTTCAAGGCAACACAAAATTATTTAATTAATAATTTTTCTAAATATCTAATAAAATTTAGGCAAAATCTCCCCTATAAATTGCACATTTCCCGATTAATATATACTCTAAATGATTACACAAACATTACGCACATTAAGACCAACAATTATTTCGGATACTTCATTGAAATTGAATCACAAACTCTTCCTCCTAACTTCTTCGGAGAGCATTGAACCAATCTTATTTTTTCTCAATTCTCGGAGTCTCCGACTCCTCGGGTTCGATACACTATAGCATATCTCGACACACTTCAATAATTATATATGAAATAATTAAACTAATTAAATTTAAAATGATAATGAATTAACGAGTTTTATTATAAACAAAGTTATAATTCAACCAATTTAACATAATTAACCTATTTAATTAATTAACTAAACATAAATCAAATTAACTTAATTAATTCTAATTTTGATCAAATTAAATTTAAAATAAAAATTAAATTAACTTAATTAACAAAAAAATATTATTTTTAATTAACAAAATTACAATTGATTGAAAATTTTATTCTAATCCAACCAATTTAACATAATTAATTAATTAACTAAATGTAAATCAAATTAAATTAATTAATTTTAATTCTAACCAAATTAAGTTTACATAAAAATTAAATTAACTTAATTAATAAAAATATTACATTTAATTAACAAAATTACAATTAATTGAAAATTTTATTCTAATCTAATCAATTAAACAAATTAAACATAATTAATTAATTGATTAAATTAATTTTAATTCTAACAAAATTAAATTTAAATTAATTTAATTAAAAAATATTACATTTAATTAAAAAATTACAATTAATTAAATAATTCATTCTAATAGAACCAATTAAACATAATTAACCTAATTAATTAATTAACTAAACATAATTCAAATTAACTTAATTAATTCTATTTCTAACCAAATTAAATTTAAAACAACAATTAAATTTACTTAATTAACAAAAATTTTATATTTAATTAACAAAATAACAATTAAGTAACAAATTTATGCTAATCCAACCAATTAAAAATAATTAAACTAATTAATTAATTACCTAAACATATATCAAATTAACTTAATTAATTCTAATTCTAACCAAATTAAATTCAAAATATCAATTAAATTAACATAATTAACAAAAAAATTACATTTAATTAAATAATTTATTCTAATTCAACCAATTAAACATAATTAACCTAATTAATTAATTAACTAAACATAAATCACATTAACTTAATTAATTATTAATTCAAAACAAATTAAATTCAAAATAACAAGTAAATTAACTTAATTAACAAACATTTTACATTTAATTAACTAATTTATTCTAATTCAAACATTAAAACATAATTAAACTAATTAATTAACTAAATATTAATAAAATAAGCTTAATTAATTTCAAATTAATTCTTATTAACTTTAAAGTATATTTAACTATCAAACTAATCTAACAATTCAACAAATTAAACTAACAAATTAACAAAAGTTAACAATTTAATAAATAAATCAACAAACTAACAATTAAATATATACACAATTATAAATCAAGCAATTATACTTAAAACCTAACAATTATAAAAAATTATTAATATTAATTAAGAAAATAAAAGAGATAAAAAACTAACCTAATTTCAGTGAAATTGACCAAAACGAAGGAAGAAACACTAGGTTTTTTGAAAAAAAAAACTAGTTTGAAGAGGATGTGAATTGATGGAGAGTGGATTAGGAAGTTTTGTGAAGGATTTAAGGGGTTGAGGGAGGGATGGTAGCCTTAGGGAGGAAGAGAAATGGGGAAGAATGAGGGAGAAGGGTTCTGTCTAGGTTTTAAAAAAACCCAAATCAGCGATGAGAACGATCCCATCGTTGATCTATCGCTATTTAACGATGAACATTAATATCCGTTGCTAAATAGTAACATCCGGAGTGCTTTTGAATTTTCAAAGGCCGCTCAAAATTTCATCATTTAACGATGAGAAAATTTCTATCGCTAAATAACGATCTTTTATCAAGCGATTTATTGTAGTTAAAAGATAAAAAAAATTTAGCGACAATATTAACGTCTCGTCGCTATGTTTTATAGCCAATTCTTCTCTAATCCGTGTCGTCGTTATTTTTTATAAGCAATTCATCTCTAATCCGTCGCTGAAAGCTCATTTACTAACAAAAATTGATTTATTGCTGATAATTAGTCATAAATCTACCATTGTTCCATCGGTAAATGTAACAAAAGCTAACTTGATACTATTTAGTGACAGTTTAAATTATATCTTTAAAATCCATCGTTATTTAGAAAATTTACAGTGAAATCTTGGAAGTGCGAGTTGTTGCAACGTCACAGGCAATGTTTGATTAAGCATGTCCAGCTTGAGGATAATTATGGCGCTGATTTGTTCGACAAACGAGGTGTTAAAGTTGTTATCTAGTTTAATATTATTTATCATTCTTCTGCAGATGTCCGGCTTGTGATTATGAGGGACATGATTAGTATTGGCTTGTTTAGGAGTTTGCTTTGTGGTTCTTTTCTTTAAAAAAAAAAAGAGGAAGCTCAATTAGGTAGATCCAACTTAACCTCATATGTATTGCATAAATGAAGCTTGTAAATTAAACGCATCTATTGCCCTTCTATACATTTTTGGAATCTTATAATTTTCAGTACTCTTTGTTTTATTAATTTATTTTTTGTCAGGTTTAATTTTTATAGTAAATAGATAGGATAATCGAGCACTAAGCCGAGTAGTGAAATAATACGTCTCTTTCTACGTATAAGATATGTTCATTGATTCTCAATATCAAAAAAAAAAAAAAAAAAAAGATTCGTAGGATGCGCTGACATTCAGACCCATAAATATATAGGTTGCTTTTTTTTTTTTTTTTTTGATATTGTAGTCCATTCACCTCTTAAATCTCTTATCCATAATCCATGACTATATATAAAATCATGAACTCTTTAAAACCTTTTGATAGATTATTATATCCTTATTTAATACTAATATTATAATTTATCACAATAATAATATGTAATCTCATTACAAACCAATGTAGGACTTTATTGACATTTTATTTTGACTATTAAAAAGATAAGATATTTTAAAACAAACAAATAAATAAAATTTAAATAAAAAACAGAATAACATTAAAATTCAATAAATTATTGAATTGGATTGTTAATTTTATTTTTATTTTTTTTATTAGAGGTCTTTGGTTATTTTTTGGTAACCCTTAACTCCTCTCAATGAAAGGTTTATAAAATTTATATCATTTTTTATTTTATTTTGGTAGACTCTACTAACATTAAAAATATTCTTCAAACAAAAAAGATTGATAAAAAATTTATCCATTCATGTAAAATAATTTCTATTCAAGTTGCATATAATTTAAATAAAAATATTCATGAATGTAAAAGAGATTCCCGAACTATCACTTATAGTATTCTAATGTTAAATTATCATACATACCAGGTTTCTAGACTCTCGAATACAACTTTCCTTCATATAAAATACCTCATTTATTCATGAAATATAAATAAATTTTATTAAAAAGAGGACTCCTTTATGTAAAATAGTTTATAGGTATGAATACTCAATAATTTTATGGAATCAAGATCAAATATTTTTAAAAATAATTAGATTATTCGTTATCATATTTGTATTTAAATATCTAATTATATTTATTTTAATCATATTATCGTAATATTACTTCAATTTCTCCCTACAAATAAATAATTTTTATTTTGGTGTAGTCAAAATTTGTTTTATGTGTTTTGAAAACTAAAATAAATAATTTTATTATAAATTATATAATTTTATTTACATTTAAAAATCAAATATTAATTTAATTTTAAAATTTATTCTTTTATAAAAAATTCAATACTATCGATCGAATTAGAGAAAAACACTACTCCATCTATCCCAAATATATTGTACACCTTTTTTTTATTTTGGAATGTTCGAAAACTATTTTTCATTATTAAAAAATCAAACTGTTAACGACTTGATTTTATTATTATACCTCTAAATATAACTTACTTTAATTATTTCAATCCAATTATAATTAATTACACTTTTTTAATTTATTTGAAAATTTGCACGGGATCGTAACTTTGAAGCGGAACGAGTACAAGATAGTTGAATAATACACATCCCGGAGTACTTAGAAAAGAACTAGGGGAAGAAAAGATATACGTACGTAGGCTGTGTGTTTTAGCTACAAGCAAAGAGCCCAATTTATGGAACTAGACTTAAGCTCAAATATGTATCCTTTTACTTTGCTGGGGCATGGGAGAAGAGTGGTGAGAAACCCAGCCCTTAGGCCCAAATCTTAGTGTTGCCAATTTTCATTTTTTTTTCTTTTTTTCTTTTTAAGATAAAGGGGTTTAACGCCCATAAAAATAAAAAATTACAAAAAACATTGACATGGGATAGAAAGCCCATTGCATCCTGCAACAAAAGATTCGATATTCCATGAGCCGATGAAAGTAGGTCTTGGAGCGAAGTCGCCAATTAATCCAAGCTAATGGAAAAACTTTCCAAAGAATGCATAGGGCAGTTGTAAGACATCAAACAACGAAAAAATTCCACCAGGGAAAAAAAACATCAACAACAACAGTCTGAAACAGTAACAGGTGGCAACTTTGAATTTTCGAACAGGAGTTACATGCCAGTAAAAGATTTTCCTCCTAAGCAAACTATATCGTAACAAAAGCATCAATGCCACTAGCTCTAGATATCTTAATAATCAAATCCTAAACACATGGAAATTTTAATACCTATTCAATATTCATTTTCTAGTATTCGGTTTAGTATAGAGCAATGTTCTTAAAACCTCTCAAATTTACAACTGGGAAGCAGGATCTAGTCCATAAGTATACCCATTTTTCAGTGAGTTGTCACCTTTAGTTTCAGGTTCTGCAAACTCCCCATCGTAGTCCATGAATCTCTTCCAGAACCAGTGTTTCTTCCACACTCTCTCAGTCATCTCTTCAATGGGTATATTTTTTGTCTCTGGCAGCAGAAATACCACAAATACTGACATGATAAACACCCAGCCACAGAAGAACAAGAAGATGCCAAACTTCAAAGTGCAGAGCATGGAGAGGAAGGCCTGTGCCATAACAAAGGTGAAGATCAAGTTGACACATACAGTGACACTTTGACCAGCTGAGCGTGTCTCCAATGGAAAAGTTTCACTGGGGATTAGCCATCCTAGAGGTCCCCAAGACCAGGCAAAGGCAGAAACAAATGTGCACACCATAACAACTACTAGAATTCCAAAACCACGATGAAGGTCATTAGAGTGGTCTTTAACCTTAATTCCCAGTATTATTGCTATTACCACTTGCGAGAAGAACATTTGGACACCAGCTTCCAATAAGAGCATCCTGCGACCTACTTTGTCCACTGAGTAGATGGAGACACAGGTGGAAACAACGTTGACAGCCCCAATTATAACAGATGAATAAAGGGCAGCATCACTGCCGAATCCCACCGTGTTAAATAGGACCGGTGCATAAAACATGATTGCATTGATCCCTGTGAACTGCTGGAAGATCTGTTGCAACCAATGAATTAAAGATCATCAGACCAAATCTTGGAATTCAACAAGTTATTACGGCTAACTAAACTAATGAAAACTATATTGTATGATTGAAAACTGAAACATGCTATTTAATTTGTATGGTTAATTAGGTCCATATTATCATGCTCGGCAAGTGTCATAGCGAAGTCATATTGATATAAATTGCTTTTAGATTTAACCAAATTGATTGAAGATGTCAATTACAGTTTCCATTCCTCGAAAATTACTGACCTGCAACGCTATTGTTATGGCTAGTTGGGGCCAATTCCTCCTCTTGAGGAGATTTCTGAAAGGATGCTTTACTTCTTGTGCAAGTCGGCTTGCTTCAACAAGCTCCAAGAACTCTGGTTCAATCTTATCTGTCCCACGAATCTTTCTGAGTACAGATTTTCCTTCTTCTAGGCGGCCACGCTCAATAAGGCTGTTAGGGGTTTCTAACACCAGGAGAGCCCCTGCTGTTAAGAGAAATGCCGGAATACCAGCCAGGCCCAATGAGACTCTCCAACCCCATCCTCCTTTAATTCTGTTTACATGAGGAACACCGAAAATATAATTAACAAATTAAGAATTCGCAGCAAGACTGAAAATATAGCCTTAATTTGGAATAGCCTCCCTAGTTTCATGTGGCCAGTGAAGCATATAGAGGATGACATTAGACAATAGCAGAGCACATCTAATTGTTATTGCATACTTGTAGCCACACCACTCTCGTATTGGTCTTCATCAGGCCCCCCCCAAAAAACAAAAAAAAAATCTTTTTCTTGTTGGTAGGTAATTAAGGAAGTTGCTGATCTTCAAGGTATTTCAAACTTAATCCTTAACCCTTACTGTCAACAGTAGAGCAGTGGATATATATATATATATATATATATATGCAAAGAGAGGAGCAAATGCATCTTTTAATAAATTCGAACAGAAAAAAGTTCCTGATTTACAAGTTCTAACAATTCTTGTCAAGTTATCATCTTTCCCGGCCACACGTAATTTGACACAAACATGTTGACAGAAGTGGTTGTAATACAGTAATGGTGACTATTCAACAATCTACTTCCTGTTTGTTTTTCTCCTTCTTGTGCATGTTACGGAAAACAGTAAGGTAGTAGGAAGAGAAGACTTACTTTGCAGTCCCATAATTGACAAGGTTAGCAAAAAGAATGCCAATTGTCACATTAAGCTGGAAGAGTATGTTTAATCCTCCACGAATTCTTGTGGGTGCTATCTCGGATAAAAATAGTGGCACAGCCTGTCATGTAAATTGAGATCATCAAATATAATTAACAAAAGACTTTTCCGTTTCTTGACAAGCAAATGCCTCTGACTTGTAGCATCAGGGCCAGCTTGACATGTATTGCGACAAAAGATTCTCATCTCCGTCACAGGGTATTAGATAGAAATACATAATTAACTTACAGTCAAAAGAAGCATTTGAAGCTCAAATGACAACTTGAACTTATTGATCAAGACTAGTCTCAACAATCTTTGGCAGTTAAAACAGCTGGCAAATTAATAAAATTTAATAATTTGCTTCGTTTGAATTTTTTCACGTGCGAAGTAGACAACGAATGGTCAAATTATTGAATTGGAAGTTGTGACATGGTATTACACTATCAAAGTATTTAAAAATATATATATATATAACTAACCGTCCATCTATTTAATTTTGAATTTAGGACAGGTCTTGTGTGTGTTTTATGTTTACATCAGCAATAAGGTTTTCCACACAAACAGTTGAATTTAAAGTCCAAGGATCAGATAAACAATTCAAAGAGGTACACCACACAAGCTACGTCTAGCAGTTGAAAAAAAAAACCCTTCAGCCTTCACAATCACGTTATTCTATAAATAAATAAATAAACCACATATTTTCCATTAAAATCATTCTTTAGGCAAGAAGGAAGATACGATGAAATTGGTTGTTATTTTTTTTCCCCTGGATAATTCCAAACTAACCATCCTTGTCATATGACACTTCCTATGATCGAGCCAAAAAAAAGAGGGAAAAAGTCTTAATCACGTGTAAAAGCATCAAATGGCTGGAATGTATTTTAAGCCAAAAAGAAGACATGTGGTCGTCAATCATTTTGATTCGATGATGAGCTTGTTTAACTATCACCCAACAAGCGCAGGAAGGATTACGTTTGTGAAAATTTTACATGGCACAAAAAGACTGGTAGACGTAAAAGAAAATTAAGAACCTATAATTAACAATCTGTAGATGATTTACCTAATTGGTGTTTTTATCATGGAAACATGATTTACATCTCATAAAGCAGTGAATTAACCAACAACTTGAAAAGAAGTGACGTCGGCAAGACAACAGGATATTGCTAGGCCTATCTTATGCTAAATTAACTTCTTTGACTAGATGCCTCCCTGAGACACTACCTTTAGCCCTCTTCATATATCAATTCTCATATTCAACTCTTGAGGCTTGACTCCTAAATATGTGAGAAGTGACGATATAAACGTAGTTGTTTTGTTTTTCAATTTTAGCCAGCTAGCTGTTCAAGATTCTTTGACTAATCAAATAAATTAAATTTTAAAAGCAATAAATTATAAAGACAAAAATAAAAATATTACAAAACAGATGTAGCACTACGGATGTGTATACGAACCTGATTAGCAAAACCAACTCCACAGCCAAGTAAAATCCTGCCAATGATGAGCATGGCAAGGTCTTGAGCAGCAGCGTTAAGTACCACACCAAATATAAAGAAAAACCCAGCAATCAACATGCTTGGCTTCCTGCCTAGCCTTCTAGTGGTCCAAGATGCAAAGAAAGTTGCTATCAAGCCAGCCAAGTAGAGTGATGATGTGAACAATTGCAAGTCCTGATTATCGTACTTGCAGTAATTGCTGTTAAGAGTGGGATCCAGAGTTTTCCCGTAAACTTCTGGGAAGAACTTTTCCAAGAAATCGGGCATTGACGTAACACCACCTGCATCGTCATCGTCATCATGCATTAATTACATATCCATAAATTAATAACATCATCTAATTCTTTTATCCAATTAAACAATCAAGGATCCTAAATTTTCAAAAAAAAATAATAATAATAATAATCGAGTTAAGGAGCCTAAAAGAATTTTAGGGGGAAAAAATCAAGAGGAAGTAGCATGGCCTTGGGTAGGAAAATCAATTGCACGGCAAACATTTTATACGTCTATTGGTGTTTTGAGTTTTTGAGTAAAGCAACAAACAACCAAACTGTGCTCTCTCATGTAGCACTACTCTTTCCTAAACTACTCATACGTTCTATAACCCAATAAGCGGGGATATTATAGTAATTCTCAAGGCAGCAGAACCTTCCCGTCTGTTTGGCGGGAGTTGCTGCAACTGCCCGCTTTCACTTTTTGGAAAAAATCTACACACACTATAACCCCAGAATTCTCTATTAATTTTATCCACGAAGGACATACGCAGAGTTTTTACCGTCAAGTCTTTAGTTTCTAAAAGAGATTTAAGTTTTTTTTTCCCCGAGAAAAAAGAAGAAGCAGAAGAAGCAGAAGAAGAAGAAGAAAAGAAGGCTGAAACTAAAGCTTTACAAAGAATATTGCATGGTAGATCGAACACATATACTTTAAAAAAATGAAAACGAAATGAAGAGTTAGGGAAGGAAGAATCAATAACCTGAAACACCAACGTCATAGCCAAACATGAGGCCACCAGTAGCAGCCATTATGCAAGAAAGGATAACAATCGGCGTTATCTTCGCCTCAAACTCCACTCCTCCGGCAGTCGCCGGCGCAAATCCTCCGGCAGGCATGAGTAAGAAACAACAAAGTGAACTCAAAAGGAAAGTATTAACCTCTCTCTAATTAAAAAAAGAATGAAAGAGAACTGATCAAGAGGAGGAGACTAATTTCTTTTCAGATTTTTCCAAGTAATTATGAAAAATGAATTATTATGGTGCAGCACAGCGTGAGTGAGTTTATATAGACGGGCGAGAGAGAGCTAGCAAAATCAAAATGGATTATGTGGAGTGGGCACCCACCTTCTGATGTTTCCACGTGGTGATTTAGATCGCCCTTTTTTTTTTCATTTTTTCTTCGATGGCTGGCTAGTGGCTAGTCAACGAACGGCTTTTAAATCTCAAATGGATCTAAATGCAGTCTCAAGTTAACTATAGCGTAAGTAATTAAACTAAATAATGAAGCCATTTTGATTTTCTTTTCTTTGTTTGTTTTCCGCGTGTGAAACGAAAACGATACGTCTGTGGGTCTTGCTGGTGCCACGTACTTCATGATAACATGAATTATATCATATGTGATTCTGTTGGATATATATATATATATATATATATATATATATATATATATATCATGAAGTTGAAAAACTTGAGGGTTGGTCATCGGGAAAATCAACGAGGTTTTTTTTTAAAAAAAATATCGCCAACAACTTTTATTCAATTACATTGTTTCAAAGTGGGAAAAATGTTGGTTAGCTTTAGTTGTATGTCTTGATCTTAAAGCTTGAAATGGATCAATGACGGTCGTGTTGTTGTATCGCATGTTTTTGCTGCTGGTTTTAGAATGCTCAACTATTTATGTTACCATTTTCCATAGATAATAATCGTCTCTGTCGTCAACCAATTAGCGCTAAAATGAGGCGTGAAAATAAAATGGAACACCAAATTATGAATTTTCAACCTCACGTTAATTTTTTAATTTGGAACAAATGGGGGTCCAATACTGCATTGAAGTTTTCAGATCACAAGGAAACTATATATCTGAATGGATAATTATCGCATACTATTCGTATGGTTACAATGAATGTCATCCTTTTCGAGATGTGGGATTTTGGGATTCTACAGTCAGTGGAAGCACAAGCAAATTTTGAGACCATGCCAAATTGCCCTTAAGAGATGCAAATATTTATTTAAATCGATTTGATTCTTCCATTTCTTGAGGACGTTAATCATTGTTCAAAAAAAACAAAAAATAGAGCTGTTAATCCGTACTTTAGAGGGAGGAAAACAATCATAAGAGGAATTGTAATCATACGAGGGAGAGAGAGTTTTGGCTAAAGAGAGCACCACAAGTCGCTTCTTGCAAATTCAAAATATCCCTCGATGACTCTTAAAAATGCCGCACAAGTAATCATAAATCCAAAGACCGTTTTACTATCTTTCTGAATTTCCACAAATCGTGCCAAAGAATATTGTTAAGATCATAACATATCCTAGGACTAACTTCACCAAAACCCAACTATTAGTTGAAAAAAAGCACCAAATAATCCATCGAATTAAATCTCATATACACCACTAACCATGTCTTTGCAAAGTGCAAATGATATCATCAGCATCCTTGCGTTCGCAAAAATAAAAGGTTATATCACTTCAATTGTCATGATTATGTTTACCATAATAGATAGAGAGAGATTTGGGTAAATAATTTAATTTATTCTTACATAATAGTATAAATCTTTAATATATCTCTATATTTTTAATTGTATTTATTATGTTTTCGAGATAGTATTTAAGTTTTTTATTTGTTTTTTCGATCATGAGTAAATTTTTTAATCGAAATATCTCTAACTAAAATGTCAAAAAAAAAAAACTAAAAACTAAAAACTTAAAAAAAAAACATACAAGTAATGTGATTTTAAGTTTTTTTTTTAACATTTCGAGTCAAGGAAATTTGAATCAAAAAATTGATCAAAATAACATATTGGATACTAAAATATTATTTTAAAATATAAAATATATGCAATTAGACACATAGAGACAGATTAAAGACTCAAATTATTATATAATGATAGATTGAGCTATTTACCCTAGTTTTTACACGTGCAACGAGAGAAACACAAAACAAACACAAAGATATATATATATATATATATAGGAATGTTAAAATTTGAGATTTTTTTTAAGGAGAGAATGATATTAATGTCAATTGAGTTATTAATTATCGACGAATTGAAAAATTTTAATTAGCTAAAATTTTAATCATGGAATTTTAATTTCTTTCAATCTTCTTGTGTTAACTAATCGAGCTTGAAGGATTCTCCAAGATCACACTCGCTTTTTTTTTTTTTCAACCTCGCTTAAGCAAAATATTTTCCTACAACAACTTTTGAGATGACTATTTATAAGGGAACTATAAATTACACATGGCAAAGCATTCTTAAAGGAAGGATAACTGTTAAGGCGAGAATAAGATGGAAGGTAGGGGATGTTAGGGATATCCGGTAGGATAAATGGATCCTAAAGTAAGTTCGGTAATAGAGTATGGTCTCCCTCTTAAATGTTAGGTAGTGATGCTACTCGTGGATATGCTTATTGATACGGATGTATGTGCATAGAAAACTAACTTTGTTCATCATATCTTTTTTCCATTTAAAGTTATGCAAATCTTTTAAATTTTCTTAAGCTTTCAATTTCCTTAAGATGAAATAATTTGAAACTAGACGACCAATGGTAAGCTTTTAGTTTGTAGTGCATATGTTATTACACTTGACTTATGTTGAATTGGTGAGGAGTCAACTAGCAGATTATCAAACTTGGATAAATAAGTGTAGAAATGAGTCTAGCACATGAGTGTCCCTTTCTAAAGTTTGATATTTTGGTAGAGAGCTATAAAGGACATTCTTTATGCACAATCCGATCCGGTTAAAAGAGGAATGTTTATAGACTAGTCTTATGGTATATGTGATTTTCACTCGTAACATATTAATCACGTCCTCTATAGTTATCTTTTTTATTAAAAAAAATATAGGTTATGTGAACTCTTTTAGCACTTATGTGTCTATCATGCATTTAACTTAATATAAAGAAAAGGAAAAATGAAGAAGATGAAGAACAAGGAGAGAGAACGAGAGAAGAAGAAGGAAAGATAAGGATAAAATTTATTATAATTGCATATTATTTCCTTTTTTCCTTTTTGTTCATTCTCTATAATAACGAGAATAAAAAAACATTATTAATCTGGGCTCGCCATAACTAAGCCCAATAACTAAGTTCAAGTTATTAAGAGACCTTAGCCCCGGTACATTAACTAGACTCGATGACAATTAACCCATAATACTTTTAGTCCAACTTCATTCTATCTTTAGTTACTTATAAATTGCATTCTTTACCATTCAATCGAGTTCCTTATCATTTTCATCTTCATGCCCCCTTCTTTATCTTGTCGTGTTCTTTCCTTTTTCAAGCCTTTTTATTTTTTGATCCTCATTTTACCTATATATCAATTCCTTGTATTAATGCCCCTCTTCAAACTATCTTTATCTTTAAGGGAGATCTTGGAAATTGTCTTTTAATGTCTTTTATAACTTTTCAAGTTGTTTCTACCGATGATAAGTTGTGTCAATGGATCAACCACTTTATTATAGCATTCTATATTATTCCCTTTTCTTCTTTATGTTCATTATTTATACTAATAACAACAAAACACGCTACTAACAGATCCCGCCAAAACTAAGCCCAATAAATAAGTTCGAGTTATTAAAATAACCTAGCCTAAGAATAATAACTTGACCATATGACAATTAACCCATAATACTTTTAGTCTAGCCCAACCTACCTCCAATTACTTGTAATTTGCATTCTCCACCATTCAATTGAGTTCCTTATCCTTTTTATCTTTTTTTTCCTTTGTCTTCTCGTGTTCTTTCCTATTCCAAACCCTTTCATTTTTCAATCCCCATTCTCTTTCATACCTATTCCTTATATCAAGCCTCTATTTAGGATTGGTTCTATAGCTTCATCTTTAAACTTGATGAATCTAAGTTTGAGAAGGCAGTTATGCTAGCATGAATCTTATGGTATGCTAGGAGTTGTCCATATTTTTAGAATAAAGAGATTACAAAAGTTAATATTATGAAAATTGCCAATTCTACTCTATACTATTATCAAAACGCCAATGACATATTGGATAAGTCTCATGATCAATCTCGCAACCAAGAGATATTTTATTGGACCACTCCACTTTTTGATGTGATTGAAATAAATGTTAATATTGGTGTGAGGAACAATATTAGTGGACTTGGTATCATTGCTAGGCATATCCTTGGTCAAATTATGTTTTGCTCTCATAAATGTCTAAATCTGTAATTTTCTATCAATATCGAGTGAAGCTCGCTTACTATGTATGGTATTCAACTAACTTAAAAATAGGCTTCACTAAGGTTTGCTTAGAATCTAAATATGCTCACCTTTATCGCCAATTTAACAAAACCGAGAAAATGGTTCTTATTTATCCTCTCTAGTTTTGGATCTTCATGCCTTAGCAAATCTCTTCCAAAATTTTTCTTTTATCCATATCAAACGAATGTGTAATAAGATCGCTTATATATATATATTAGATGCATTTTCTCATGTCTTGTTAAGAATTTTTCACTCACATATTCTTTTTTATATTCATATTTTCTCTTATATGCTTTTTTGACACTTTTTGAACCAAAATATCCCTCGGACTACGAAAAAAATATTTTTAATACATAAAAAATTAATTCTAAAAACTTTACAAATTTTGAAAAATCAAGAAAATAGAAAATAACTCATAAAAAAAAGAAACTAATGAAAATTTAAAAAGTTTGTGTTTTGCAAAACTTATTTTATTTTCATACACATATTTCTATTATAAGGCTATGTAGACACAGCTTTTTAAATTTTTTAGATTTTACATGTTAGTTTTAACTTTTGTACTTTTTTTGGGTTTTTTTTATAAGGCCTCCAATTTTTTTAATTTTTAAAATATTTTTTCTTTCTTTTTTTTTTAAATCTTTTTTTAGGGTTTAAGAGATTTGTTTAAGAGATTTTTCATC